TGGGTCGTACCGCCGCACAACACCAGGAGCACCAGGATGCCGATCCCTCTCCCGGGACTGAGAGCCTGACCGTGACCTCTGCTCATGAAAGGTCTGGTACATCTGAAGCGTGTTCTGGCGCTTCTGCCAGCGTTCGACACAGTCCTGACAAGCCTTATAAAGCCACGCGAATGACCTAACGGTCACATCGCGATCCCACCTCTCGATGTCAGGCCGCATACAGCGTAGATGACGAACGTTCTCGATGAACACAGCTAATAGTACCCCATCATCGATCTTCTTCCTAATCCCAGAAATGAGATTGTCCCAGGTGCTCAGATAACTCCGGAGCCTAGCTTCATCATCGGAGTGACCTGTTTGCCGGCACTTGAGACTAGTCAACTCGGAAGGTCTGGTCGTCTTCGACCCCAGTCTGCAGGTGGTTCAGCAGAAGCTTCAAGATCTGTCTCCCTTTGATACCCTGGGGAGGATTCATATTCTGAGCGGCTTCGGTCAGGCGGTTCATCTTGTCCCTAACTGCCCTCGTCTTGATACACTCCCTGATAGCACTCGTGAAGTTGGAATCCAAAATCGGGTACTTACAGGGTCCACCAAGAGCATCATAGTCAAGCCTCTCAGTCTCTGAAATCCACGCTAACGCGTAGTCAGAGTCAAAGCTGAAAGCATTCCTGACCCTTTCCTTTATCTCGGAAAGCCACTCCCGCAGCTTATCAGCTGTCGGCTCAGCAGGCAGCACGATCGTGTTGCACTTATGATGGAACCGATCCTTATCGACAACGGTGGAAATCAGAGCCCCTATCGGGGTACATGAGGTAATCCTGCAACTTTCACACAGTCTAGCAGGCATAGGGCAGCAAACTTCACACGCCCTCATTCCACAACCAACGCAAGGAACAAGAGGGAAACCAGGCTCAGGGATCCTGCTACACTTAGTGCACCTGTCCCGTCCATCATCTCCCCTCAAGGCTTCAGGGAGAAGACCACCATCTCCCTGCCTACCGGCCCCATTTACGCTGTAGCCAAGGCTAAGACCTGGCTGAAGGTTATCGGGGACGGCAGCAGGCCTCGGGCTCCTATTCCTACCCACATCCCTATTGGGAGAAACAGAAATGTCCCCCCTTGCGCGCGCGCGGGGGCCATCCCTCGCACGCCCTGGCGGTGAATGCGACCTGTCAGGCAATCCCCGAGCCCTCCTGCTTCTGCTGTCAGCCCTCTCCCTATCGAGATTAATGGGATGCCTGTCTGCACGAGAAGGATCGACCCTACCGGGCACATCTGGCAAAGCGTGATCAACCAAATCAACACCTCCGCCCGGTCTCACCGGAAGGCCAGTACCCCGACCATTACCTTCTCCGGGAGTGGGCGTCGGAGACCTGATTCTGTGTCCTTGCCCCGCGAAAGCGTCGTATCCGACGTTCCGTCTCTCTCTAGGCTGTGGGGGATTTGCCTGATTGTCCTGGGCACCCTGAATAATGACAGCAGCCTCATCAACATGACCTTCGATTTCATAGAGCTGAGCCATGATCCTGTTGTTCATTCCATTAAGAGTACGCATGTTACTCTCAACAGTGCTGATCCTCCGCATAGCGCCCTCAAGCGTACTCCGGAATGAGTCAATTTCACGCCTAACGGCAGACCGCGCTTGATCACTATTCGCAGGGAGACTGCGGATCTGTCTTCTGATGTCATCAAGAACTTGATTCAGAATTCCCGAACTCGCTTCGTACTGCTCAACACGGGATTTCAAGGTTTCAAACCTTGCAAGGACATCGTCATGCTCCCCATGGTGGCGTTGAACTCCGCGAGATAGATCCTGGACCTTTCGATTGACTTCGTCAATTGCTTCATGCCAGTCCTGCGGGGATACGGGCCCTGATGATCTATCGATCGCCTGTGACCCCCTTCCACTTTGCAGCCTCGACATCCGATTGGCAAGAAGGGTCTGCTCTTCATTAATGCCACCAATAGATTCGGAGGCCCACGTAGCAAATTTCTCGTGTTCAAGAAGGGCCTTCTCGAGCTTCAGGTTTAACTCCCTGAAATTCGCGTTCACCACGCTGCTGCTGGCCCTGTCGGACGATTGCGCGACAGGATTCAAATTCCATTCGCCTGCTGGCGTCCGCATCCCGACGGTTTTCTCTACCGAGAACATCCGTTTCTCGAGCTTTTCCAAGTCCTTAAGGATCTCATCCTCGGAAGCAGCATGGCTCCTGTGGACGGCCTCACGATTCTCTTGAATCATCTGGCGAAGCCGATCAGTCGCAGCCTCATTGTCCTTAACAGATTCGTGAACCTCGTGAGAAGGTAGATTGATCCTCTGCTCCACGACTTCAGCTTGTTCATCGATGGCTTGCCTCACAATGGCTTTGCTGTCAGGAATAACTTCCCTTGCAAACCGTTGAACTACCATTCGCATCCTCCCGGCATCAGATTGAGTCGCAACCTCAGCTGCCAGGCGATCGACCTTGTCCTTCGTCTGTCGACTCTCGTCGCTCCATTCCCTTCGCATGGAACTCACCTGACCGTTCAGTAACCTGATTTGGTCAGCAAAAATATGGAACGCCTTCGCGACTGAGCCAGAAACCTCACCCCTCTCGAGCATCTCCTGGATGTGCAAATCAAACACCTCCTTTGCCCTAGCGTCACCTGATTCGCCGGAAGACTGGGATCTGAGGGCAGGAGGAGTCGATATCTCGATCCTCTCAGGAGCCCCACTAGCCCCGGCATGTCTTCTGGGGTCGCCTATTGGACAATCATCAATCCTGGATGGCCTACTCGGGTTAGATTCCCTCCTCCGGCTATCGCCAGATCGGGGATCAATGTTGGATGCACGTGACTCGGGGGTGGAGTGAATGTGAACATCAGCAGGATCGGGCATCTCCTCATCCTGCAGAGCCAAGCCCATTGGTGAGGGGCTAGCCCTCCTCGCCTTCGACCTATCGGTCTCAATGGCTAGAGGTGACGGCCTCTTCGCGGAAACACTACGTTCCCTGGCGGTCGAGCCCCATTGAGGTGTGAACTCGTTGCTAGACCTCAGCGTTTCAAGGTCACTGGTATCCCGCCCTAACGGGCTAGCGATCGACGGACGATCTTCGATCCCGAGCGCATCGGCAAGCCGACCATCTCTGGCACCTGTCCTAACGACATCGGCAGCCCGCTCAGTGATCCTCGGCGAACCAGTAACCCGGTTCGAGTTCACGTCTCTCTGATTCAACGGACCTCCAAAGGTAATGTTGGGAAAAGGGGGAACATTCGGGGTATCACCAATCGCCGGGGGACCTATCGGTCCCTCACGGTCATGGATGGCCTCCAATCCCCGAAGAACTTCCCGACTATCCCTGGCCCTCTCTCTCTCGCTTCGGGCGTCCCTGTCAACACGAAGGTCCCTGGCGGCTCCACGAGAGAGGCTCCTGGGCCTCGCAGCATCACGGATCCTAGCATTTCGGCGTGATTGGTCCTCCTCCTCATCCGCAAAATTGTAATCTTCGCCATCATAAGACTCAGATTTGGCAGTATTAGGGTTGGGCCTACCGGCATCAGATCCCTGTTTTGAGCTACTGCCCCAACCTGCGGTTGATTTCAACAGAGCATCGTATCCGAAGTCTGAGAATTTCCGCTCCTCGTGCTCATCAAACTGACCTGGATTTTGAGAACCAGTGGATCGACCCGAGATACCTCTCGGAGCCAAAACCATAGTCCCTGGCCCCTGCGGCCTGTCCTCAAACTCATCCGAGACCTGCGATTCACCTGGAACAAGAGATCTCGGGGGTCGGGTCGGCATAGCCTCCGGGTCGTCCGAATGAGGGCGGGCCATGTTCATCGCCATGCTGATGAAGTCGAACTGTCCGCGCCTGTGACCTGATTCAGAGCCGCTCCTATCGGAGCGAACCCTTCGTGTCTGCTCATCATCGGTGGCCTGACGGAAAATGCGGTCGTCTCCATCATCGGTGTACCTGCCACGGCTCCTGGGTGTGTCCCTACCGGGATCTTCACCCCTGCGATCCTGACCTGTCGAACCTGCTTCGAAATCCTCGTAGTCGAAGTCCGGTAGGTCCTCACCTGAGCGGAGGTCACCTAGGATGGCCTCCTCATCCACGACGCTCCTTCGAGATCGTGGGGTCGACATAGAGCTTGTAGTTGATGGTCTCAAGCGCGTAGGAAAGTCCTACGGCTGATAACCTGTGATTCGGGCACGAGCCTGTGCCCAGGCAATGGGTAAGTTGGGGTAAACAAGCCACAAAAGAAAGGTTCCCCAAAAGCAAACCAATCCCCGGTCCCAAAGATCAGGGTTTCCCACACACCAGAGAACAACAACCAAAAGGAAAACAAACCAAACAAGAAAAGGGTTAACCCGCAACCTTGGTCGACAACAGGCCGCACGACTGGTCCCTACCAACCTGGCGGCGGCCCGAGGTCTCTTTCTCCCCCGAGATGCCGTCGGTCGACGCAGGGGTTCGGCGACGCCCATTCGAGGCGCGACGGAACCCAAAACTTGAGCCAAAACACCACAGGTCGGTCACTAACGCGACGTCCCTGATGATGATATTAACCATGGCTAATCACACCCTATTTCTCAATGTGACGTGGTGAGCAGTGCCACTAGCGAGCTGGGTGAAGTCCTGGGAATTTGATAAATAAAAAAGCATTCATCCCCAAGAGGACATGAGTCATTCATTCCCAAGGAAAAACTATGAGACATCCACCAATATGAAGGCCCATGGACGAATGCACCTTGGGACCCTCCAAATACATCAATTAAGGTATGGGGATGAAAGATTGGAACCCATCACCATGTGCTGATCATTGTTGACAACGTCTTTCTGGTTTAACTGCGTACTTGTAACCACCTACAAACCAACAAGCTCGCCCAGCCCATTGTTTAGGGACAAACTGCCCACCTTCCCACCCACCCCACCAACACACGCGCACACACACACACAGACCCTTCAGTGAAAAACCAGCCATGCAGTGCACCCGCCGGCTTTTCCCCGAAACCACTCCTGGAGGGTCCAGTCGCCTGCAAAGGCGCGGCCTCAAAACCGCAGTGACGCATGAGACAAATTCCGAGTGACGTGGGGACTTCAAGTAGCAGGTATAACCAGTAAGGGGCCAAAATTCACACATAAGTCTGGGGCATCTGCGCTTCAGCACTTCCTGCCAAGCCGCATCGACCTCAAAACTAAAACAACTCAATCACTAGGCCCAACAAAACCTCTGAGAAACGATGCAGAATGAAGCAAACTCCTTCTGTTGCATTAGCTACAAGCGAACCCTTAGGGGCTCGCTTCCTCAACCTCACGCAGTTGGGGAGGGTGCCTCGATGTTGGCGAAAACTCGCCCTGAGGAAGGCGCTCCCGTGCCAGGTGCCAAGCGGAGGGAAGAGTGGGTCCTTCGCAGTCGCTGCATTGCGTGGCATGGCTCCCCTCCCAAGGGAGGGGCATGCGGGGTGCGAGGCACAAGCGGCACTTACCAGACTGAAACCTTCAAGGGATCTGTGCCAGCGCGAAACCCATGAAAGCCTTCGCACACCTCGGCCTTTGGGGAGCTGAAGCTCCCGAGCTTTGAAACGCTCGAAGCCCAAGGCACACATTTATCCAACCAAACGGATGCCAGGATGCAAAATGAGCGCTTTCGCTTCGGGGCGGTTGTGTGATCTGGGAGTTGAAGGAATTAGAACTTCTCTCGCTGGCATCACGTCCGATTGGTCCTTTGGAGTGCCCAACCCCCCTTTTTGGATCTTGGACGATGGTAAACCAGTTTGGCCCCGGAAGTGATCCGAATCCCGTCTCAATTAATTTGGACCCCCCAATCCAGCTTGATTTCAAAACCACGCCGAACCTTTTGAACCAATCGAAACAAGGGGCCAAAGCGGCAAAGTTCACCAACTCGGCACGGCAACACCGCCCGTCCTGGTCAGCCAAGGGAAGCTGTGACTGGATTTTCACGCCTCCCTGGCAAGTCCGAATGGAATTTCTCGCGGCATCTAACCATAACTTGATTGCTGAGTGGATTGGTCCAAAAAAGTCATCAGCTCTTGATTGTAGAAATAATTACGCTTGGGTGGCCAATGCAACTATGGGCCACAGCGATCCAAGCACGAGTCAAGTTGGGCATCTCGCCGAAAGCAGAAGCTTGAATGACTTCCCAGAAGCTTGTCACGGATTTACAGCCGATGGCTCACAATCCACAGTAAATCTGGTAGTGGCCCCCCCGTATCAAAATGGCAAACGCGGGGGTTCTGGGAGCTGCTCCATTCAACTGTCCCCAAGCTTGTTGGTGCCAGCTTGGGCAAAGCGTTCCAAGGTCCAGTTGCGCGGAGCCTGTGTTTTCAAGCACATAAGTCGGCCGTCACGACCATGTCAACTAAGTAATAGAGTGCTTCCCAAATTGATAAAGGGAACCCCTGACCCCTGTTGGACGGTGGAATTGGAATCTAGAGGAAACATTTGGAGGGGTCCCTGGGACGCCGTCATCCACATTTCAGCTCACTCTTGGCTCGTGCACACCCCGCAAATGGATGAGAATTGCCTCCACTGAGCCAATGGTCCGACACATGCAATCCATGACAATACAACTTTCTCCCACAACAACTCAAAGAAAAGTAACCAGCCACAACGCGCCTCGAGTTTCAACAAGAACAAGGGACTTAGCACACCTACACCCCAGATGACGACATTGTTGGGGCGCAACGTTCCCCGCTCTGGGAGGGGCCGCAAGGGCAACCCGTGGAGAGAACCAAGTGTCTCCGAGTGCCTCCTTGATGGTCCAGCCATGATGCCCGTAGCTCATGATGATGTGCACCTGCAGATGTGCAACTATGCGTTGGGCATTCTTTGTGGAAATCAACTCCTTATGTGACACCAAAGTAGGCCATCCCCGTGACTACTTTATGACTGCAAAGGGGGGTCCGGAGTCCGCCGGAGTTTCTTGATATCACAGAAATCGTCCGAAAAGCCCATTTCCCACAACCATGGCGTGCCACGTTTTCACAGGCGGGTCGAACCTGACTTCGCTGCAGATTTTTGAACGTTGGTGTTCTGTTGCGGGGGAAGGTTTGAACAGAAAAGGCGACAAACATTTCCGAAAAAATGTCCAGCACGTTGGGCAGCAAACAAGGAGTTTTGCCTAGGCAAATGCTCAGTTTCGTGGAAAAAAGTGAACACCGTGCAGCACAAGCCGGCCGGAGGAAAGTGTTTGAATATGGCCCCAACGGTAGGTTCCCTAAACATTGCACGTGAACCAATCCTACAACCACAAGACCCTGCAAAAGCGCGTTAAATTTCTGGATGTTCATGGTTCCAGACATCCACCGTACCTGAACGGGGAAGTTACCTGAAGGGGGAAGCGGGGGTGTTTCCGAGCGCAAAACTGACCCATGGAGTTTCAAGGGTGGCAATTACGCTTCCATTTTGAAGGCGAGTGGCCTAGCTATTCAATCATTGATGGAGTTTATTTTATCTTTAATTTCTTACAAGGTAACCCCTGATTAAAGACAGAGTTGACCTGAAAAAAGGAATGATCCGGCTGTGCGAATCCGCACAATGAGCGGGAACGATCTTGCCTTCGCCAACTGCTGGGGTGGCATCCGCGTCATGCGCCAGGTGCCATTCCTCTGAGTGAAGATTAAAACCTCGCAGGGGGGGCGCCCGAGTGAGACAAATGCTGCCAGGGGCTTGGGGCTGTTGTCCATCCAACACGAGGGCTAAAAAAGGGAAACAAAAGGCAACTGGTCACCAAGGCAAGCTGCGAATTTCGGCGAAGACAGCCATCGCCAGTCAAGAGGTTTAACGGCCTCTTTGGCCTTACTAATGCCGTACTTAAGGTCGTGAAGCCAGAAGCACTAAGAGAGGGGAGGGTTGAAGAGACTCCAACTGCAGCATGAAAGTTGATCGCTAAGCAAGTACCTTGGCAGTGCTCAAGAGCATCTCAATCTCCTTTGGAGCCTGCACTGTGCACAGGTTTGTCCTTTTGCCAACTGTTCCCCGGCTTTGGGGCTCTAGGGCCTGCAGGCGGCAACACTTGCAAACTGCGCGCCTGGCCACCCTTCTGGTGGACCAAATACAGCGTTGAAGCAGGTGCCATCAGGAGTGGCACGTCAGCACGGGTGTGCTTTCTGTTGATCCGGTGTGGCCAGTGCGTCAGAGAATCTGCTCCCTAGACACCGGGGTCGGGTAGGTAAGCTCTGCCCATTTGATTGGAATGGGTGCTGTTTTTTGCCAGGACACTTCTTGAGGTGTTGTTGTCAACCGCAAGTCGAAACATGTTGATGCTTGACGGAAAATCTAAGAAACCGCATCCTTTCACACTGATGTCAGCCAAAATCACAACTTCATGTGTCAGGATTCTTGAAATGCCACGGTTCTGGAGCCAACCAAGGCCGGGCGTGGGCACAACTCTGCTAAACTGGCTGAACCAGAAGCCTGTGACCACAGCTACCGTGGCTTTTGGAGAGTTGTGAACGGTGTGGTTTCTGGGTTTTAGTCTTTCGGCTAACAGATTCGCACGGGCATCAACTGCTCAACCAGACATGCGAGAAGACAAGTCGTTCCTGGGCAACCTGCCAATCAAACGAACATAGTGTGTAACCACGTTCAATGCATTGGCGATGTGTCTGCGTTAGCTGGCATCATTGCCTGGTCAGGAATCGGCAAGTGGTCGACATGCAAGTTAATCATTCTGCACTGACAGATTCAGCAGGAACTCAACAAACATGCACAAGCAGGCACTGGTCGAACGGCCCAAGAAAACATGATCTCTCATCAAAAAAACTGTTCTGCAGCAAAGCACGGGCCGAGCAGAAAGGCCGTGCGTATCTCATCCGAAGCACAACAAGCAGGCCCCAACCCTGTAAAACAAAACTTTGAGAGGCCACTTCCTGCATGCCAATCTGATGCCTTGCGAGTCCCATGTACTTTTGGTTCCCTAAATATCGCAAGTAAGAAACAATGAACATCCTGCACATGTCCGTTGTTGCTGGCTAAGTTGAAAATATCCACTTGACAGATTCACCTCTCTTGCGAAGTCTTAGGAGGACAAACCTAACCAAGGTCGAACGAAACGGGCCTCTCACCCAGGATCCGGCTTGCACATGCTGCCCTCGCCAAAAACGTGCTGGAAACTTGGAAACTCGAAAAACCGATAGTTTAAAGGTCAGCCTTGGACAACTCTGCTCAGCCTGCCTCATTCAACCAAAACGAGGGGAAACTAATAGGTCAAACGGTTGCTTCGCTTTGGAGGTCCGTCCCACTCAACAAAATTACGCGAAGCGTTTTACGGGCACATAGCAGGGGGGAACCGGGTTTCTCAGCTTCCTTCAGTTTTGGGATAGCATCTCCGTATTGAGTAGGAGGGACCTCCACATGCTTTGATGGGCCCCCGAACGGCGGCGGCTGTGCCGGCATCATGGGCCACACTGGGGCGGGCGGCGGCCTTGGAAATATCCACCTTCCAGAATATGGATCATGGAGGTGGGTCCTAAGCCTTCGTTCTCCAGGTAAAATCCGTGTCATCTTGCAAGTTGGAAACACTGGTAGAAGAGCATAATTCGTTCGATTGACCTAGGCTTGCCAGCAAAGCGAGCATGGAGCCACAACTCTGAGCAAATGTCAATTATTCTTGGGCCCGGCAAAATTATGAAGACCCCACCCCCAAATGCAGGACCTTCATCATGGGTGCGCTCATTGAGATGAAAGCAGCCGGTGGCAGAAATCAGCATTGCGGACCTTGAAGGCCAGGATCTCTCAATGTGGTTGCAAGACAGTAGAAAGTAGGCAGCTGGTTTTGGATACGGTTCTTTGGACAGCTCGTGAAAGCCTCTCGGGCGGGAGGGTGAAGGGGGCCTAAGCTTCCTTGCGGATCCCTCAGGAACCCGGTACCCCAAAAAGGCTCCTCACAGTAGGTGTGTGGTTTTTGAAGAGAAACAGTGCCTGACAGGACCACCAAAGGGATACTCACCAGCTAAAGCCCACGTGACAAGTGCTTGCAATATAAATATGTAAATTGACAAAAAAACAAAGGAACAATACCAATAGGAACACTAACAAGAACAGTAACAATATCAACCGTAGCACGTAGCAATGAAAGCAATCACAGCACTAGCAACAACGAAGACTGATGAGTCATGTGGTCATGTGGCCTTGCTCAACCAGAATGAAGGTTGATTCTCCTATTTTAGTTTCACGTTCTGCAACCGGTAGGGCCACCTTTCCAGTCGCCCCGAGCCCCTCACCAACGTGGCTGGGCCTGCAACCGTCGGACGTGGCCAAGCCAAGGGTGGGATGGGAAAGAACGGGGGAGCCTTCCTTGGGACATGAGTGCGATGCTTGACAATTCTGGCTGCACTTCCAACCTTTCAGGGATCGTTGTTTCAGAAAATGGCAGGAAACGAGAAGAGTGGTGGTTTCCAGAGAATGATGGGTGAACAAATTGTGGATCACCTTTGGATTGATGTCAAAACAGGGGCAAAGAACACCCTCCCCCCAAAGAAAAGCAAAAGAAACCCTCCCCCAAAACAAGACACCAATTGCAGGCATAAAAAAAGGCGAACAAGTCGCAAGTCCAAAAAATGTCCAAAAAGTAAAACACAAAGTTACCCCTCCATGCCAAAAGACTAACCCGAAGTGAAACAAGAAGAGTTGGGCCATTCGTCCAACTGCCTATTCTGCTCGGCCCTCACTGAGCTCCCCGGGCCCTCCAGGCAGCATCTGCGTCATCAGGCTGCCTTGGTGGGCATGCCTTCAGAACTTCATGAAAACCTCGGCGGTTGGCTCTAAAGCAGAGGAACCTCTAAAATAAAGACTTTGAACTTTGAACCGCCCAAATTTTGTCGGCCCGTTTGGCCCAGCAACAGGGATCTGTTTTTCTTCCTGGACCTGTCGGCCAACATGGAACTGAAAGGGGCTTCCCAAAAGGAAGCATACATCTGTGGATCAGTGCGTGACATGCCAGGGCTTGATGCTGCTTCCGTTCTCCAACCGCCCATCCTCCAGTTCAGTCCTGTTCCCTGTACTTTGGGCCGTGTTCTGAAGGGCAATCCCTGGAACAAGTAGGGGTTACAAATAATTGTAGATGGAACAACAACCATACATCTGCACTGTTACCTCGTAGCACAAATCATGCTTTGACCGGTTTGTTGGTGTGTTCAGTGCCTGATGAGCTTTCTTCGGGCACTGAAACGGGATTTTGCCGAATCTGGGCGCTAAACATAGGGTCTGGAACAGCTCATTGCTGATTTGGTGCGCGGTGTTTGGGTGGGGCCCGGCCTCTTGCCTGTTGCTTGTTGAAATGTGCATAATAAACTATGGAAAGTTCATGTACTCAGGTAACACAAGGCTCCCACCTTCTCCCCCTCCCGAAAAGAAGTTGCTTTATGACAACGTGACATGGGAAGAGGAAAAGAACATCTAAACCCATTCGGTTTTTGTATTCTTCTGTCAAACACCATGAGTCAATGAGCGCAGACAAAGGGAGCAACTAGTCAACTCTGTGCCATCTTAAGCAAATCCCCCTTTGGAAGTGTCTCTTGTGAGGGTCCCCTTTTGGCGGTGTTTTAATGGAAGCCAAAGGGCAACCAGGCCTCAGTCTGAGGACCCCCTATACCCAACTTGGCTGAGATTCCCGCAAGCCCCGTAAAGAGTCAAAGGACATGTTAAGGCACACCCCGCAAACGAATCAGCTCCGAGGTCTGCGCTGAGGGCAGGAGGGGCCGAAGCGCAATTGCAGGTGCACCTTTGATGGATCCGTGAAAAAAACTGGCCACCCCGGGTTGGTAGACGATTGAAAACCAGAGGTTTCAGCTCAAAACACGGAAACGGAAAGACCACTGGAGGTTTGGGCCTTTGTTTGCTGAATGGCTTGAAGGGCAGATCAATCAGCAGGTGCACGGGCGGCTGCAGGCTTGGCCGACATGCTTTTAGCGACCGGGTTCATTTTTTGCTCACAAGCGACCTCAAAAAGTGAACATGTTTTCGCCCCGTGCAGGCGTGCAGGTTTCAGCACTTTGAAGCTCCAAAGCGTGCGCCGGGACAAAAATTGCAGTTCCTTGAAGCTGTGTGATGGTAAACAGTTTTAGTTCGTGCCAGTGCACTTTTTCCGGTTATCGAACAGTCCATTTGTTGTCCCCGTGCAGGTTTCAGCACTTGAAGCTCCAAAACATGCACAGGAACGAAACACATGAACATGTTAACCTCAACAAGTGCGGTTTTTTAGGCCTCTGCACCAGGCTTCAGCACTTCAAAGCTCCAAAACTTGCACAGGGACAAACAAATGCACTGTTTGATGGCTCAAAGCTCCAAAAGCTGCACAGAGACATAACAAATGAATAATTTGACCTCAAACAGCTCCAAAACACGCACAGGGACCACTCTAGACCAGGTCCACCTGATTCCGTCCCTGCGCGTGTTTTGGGGCTTCGAGCTATCAAAGGTGCATATCGGTGTTTTGGAGCTTTCAGTGCTCTAACTGTGCATTTGTTTGTCCTTCTGCCGGAACCCTTTTGCTACAAAACAAAAAATGGCAGGCCACGCTGTTTGTCACTGCACAACTAAAAGTTCAACCGGATTCCATGTTTGATTGATGGGGTGTGGAGCGCATGTGTCGAGGATTGCTCAGCAGAGTCTGCCAGCACAGGGTACTTTTGTAGGGACCATGCACACCGCCAACTGTGCGAATGACAGCAGTAGAAGCAGCACTAGGAAAACGTGGGCCCTGGGCAAAAAGGGTGATCATAGATGTATGTATATTGTTGGTGGGTTGGTGTAGGGTTGTATAGATTTGGTTTACTGTGGGTTAAGCTTAGGGTCTAGGGTTGATTTAGGTTTAGGGTTGGGGTTAAGGGTAAGGGTTGCAGGGTGGGTTGGTTCAGGGGTGGTGCTGGTTTCGGGTTGGCTTCGGGTTGCTTCAGCTAATTTAGGATGTGTGTTTAGGGTTGGTTTAGGGTAGGATGTTGGTTTAGGGTTGGGGGGGGGGGTAGGTGGCCTGGGGACTGGAACATATATATATATATGTATGTACTATGGTATTGACCAGCTGACGAATCAAAGTCGAACCCGGGCTTGCCGGCGGTTCAGGGCCCGGAGGGCACACCAAGCGCCCCTTCCGCCTGGCAAGGCTTCGGCTTCGCAGGAAATCCAGGCTGGTGTCCTTTTGACCAAAAAAAACGAGCACTGGATAATGCTTGGAATCAGCGGAATCCATCTGAATCGATTTTCAACTTTCAGCCACACCGCCCTTCCTTGGAAAGGGTACATGTGATGGGTGTGAAAAATCCTCTTGGTGACACCAAAGCGGGCCATTTTCATGACAACTTTAACGCTTCAAAAGAAATGTCCTTGATATCGCAGAAATATGCACTAGAAGTGGCAACCGCGTCTGTTTCTATTTTGGAAGTTGGGTCGCATCAATTGAATTCAAGTGCAAATGATCGTCGTGAAAGCACGTTGCGTTGGAAAGACAAATAACTTTTAAATCACGATTGACAATGTGAGGGTGAAAGCGGTGAAAGCCTTACATATGCAGAATAGTGAGGAAACAAAGAGTGAGCGTGAGTGAGGGGCGCTTTTCCTGATGCTCGTTTTGGCCAACACGCAGAAGCCCCGCTGCTGAAAGAGAGGGCTAAGCCCACTTGGCTGCTGAGGCCCGTCAGGTAAATTGGCTGTCATGTATAGGAAACTCCCTGCTATCAACCACTTACCACCCTGGCCATAACTTGGATCGCAATCCTGACCACGAAACCCGGGTAGGGTGGGAGCTTGGACCAACCACCCCTATGGTCCAAGCCCCAAAGGGGTGACTCGCAAACGTTTCTGATAAACCTGGCGGACTGGAGAAATAAACCGGACAAGATCAGTATGAAGGCCCCTCTTCAATGGGTTCTGCAGCGCGCAAGCAATCGGGCCTTTGCTGGCCCTGGCCGGTCAGGAGCACCGCCTGAAGAGCGCGACTTGAAAAGGAGGGCCCCGGAGAAAAAAAAAACTGAAAAAAACTTGGGAGGCTGGACTGTGCGAAATCAACTGTCACCCCACCAGAGAAAGAAGGCAAGCGCAAACCGCCCAGGACGTTGTTGTTTGATTTCTTCGGATTGCAGTGGACTTCATCGGGCCTAAAATCAGACACACCTCAAGCAGCCTTCACCATGGATCTTGAGCATGGCCGTGACAAGGCCATTGGAGTACCAACGCAGGAACGGCAATTACACGCCCCTGTAGAAATGGGTGCTTTGCAGAATGCAGCCTCCCCCACAATCGGGTCGGGTGTGCTTCAAATCTATTGAAGCCTTCCAGGCGGGTCTTGGCGCGGAGGCTCACAATTCAAAGGGGCCCAACAACTCCAAATTTGGATCAATTGGAGGGGAGCCCAAGGCTAAGACGAATTTGATAGAAAAGAAGCCTTCCAAGAAAACTCGAAAAAAAACAGAAACAACTGTACATGCGGGACTGCGTGAATAAGAGGAGACTGTGAGAATTCGGCATGCCTTCGTTTCAATGTACCCGTTTTTGGACAGCAAAATGCGCATGCCTTCGGGGAAGGCTCTCCAGTTGGAGACACCAAATGAGCCACGCGCAATCCAAAAACCAGGGCAAGCTTGGACGCCTTGACTATCGATACAACCGCCAGCTCGAGTCGGGGTTGCATTCCCTCTACCCCCCAAGGAAAACAAAGAGATTTGCTTGAAGAGGTATTGTCAACTTTGGAGGTCCCTTTATGCTTCTCCAGAGGTACACTCTGCCTCTGGTGAATCGTTTCGATTGGAAGTCAGAAAACGAGGAATGACCCAAACATGAACTCGCTCGACTCTACTGTTTTTTTTCAAGTCCTCGACCTGTCTGCGCAAGGAGGCTTGTGCCCATGGTGTCAGCTCTCCTCTGCCTCCAGCCAGTAGCGGTGGATCACGCCACTGCCCTCCACTGCGTGGTGGAAGACTTCTTGGTCCCGCGGCCATCCTGTTCGTCCTGTTGCACTGCCATGCCCTGGCTGGCGCACAGCAGCTTTAGGTTGCGCGGCTCTTCATCGTCCATGGTGTTGTAGTTGTACGCCTGCGTGGCAAACTGAAGCTTGCCGCAACTGTCGAGCCCGTCCACGGGAATGAAGTTGGTCTGGAAGCCGATGCAGCACTTGGTCAATTGGCATCCAGCGTGGGGTTCGAGAGGTCAGAGGTCCTTCTCCGGGCGTCGCCAATCCTGCGCTTTCACCTTAGCCGCCTGCAAGCGGCGTTCTCTTGGCCTGCGCGTTGTCGCTGAGCTGGCGGAGGGGCGCCGAAGGCGGCTGCGGCAACGCCTGCCTGATAGACATGTCCCGGAACCGGCGAAGCAAGTTCCACTCCATCACTCCATCTTGAAGATGCCCTACAGGCTGTAGCAGTGCTCGGCGGAACTGATGACCATCTGCGCATGCTTTCGCAACGGCCAGGGCCAAACAAGCAGCGCGGGTGTAGTGGATCTCCTTGTCGCCGAAGTCCAGCACCGCTGTCCAACCCGACGTAGCTGCCGAACTTCCCCAACTGCTGGAGAACGGTGTGCGTAGAGTGACTGGCTGCAAAGGCCCCCCCCTCTGTCTGCGACCACGGCCACATCGTCTGCCCTTTCAACTCCCAGCTTCTCGTTCCAGTTGTCGCTTCGAGCGGTGAAGAGGCTTCAACCGCTCTTGCTCTTGAGGTAGGTGTCTGTGATGTGTCCACCCCAGCACGATAATGCACTGCCAACTGTTCCACGGCTGGCATCGTCCCAAGACACGACCTTGCAGCTGTAGCCTGCATAGTGGCCGCCTCTGTCACGACACACCTTGTTGATGGTATCCATGACCTCCTGCACTGCGGGCATGGCTTCGTATCCCAATCAAAAGAAATTCCTGTGCCAGAGTCTGGAGCCAGCGAGGCGGACCTGGGGGGGTGTCCTGCTTCCTCAAACCAAAGCAAGCGGGTTGAACTCCTCTCCTTTTTGGATGTGCAAAGTGTGTCAAGGGAAACGGAGGCCACCTGAAAGGGAAACTACTACTCAAGCTGGTTTTCCCCACGTTGTGAGACAAACCGAAATGGTGCGGTTGTCATCTGCTGCTCTTCCCCCGCCCTTAAAGCTCGCCTGCCCCAGCAGCGGCAGTACGGCGATGAGGCGCATGGCGCCTCAGCCCGCGAACAAAAAGGCACAGGCAATCAGGACTGACGGGGTTGCTTGATCCTCGCCGTTGCTGGATGGTGCGCTTTAGAAACCTACTGCAACAGGATGGTCCCAACCTTGTTTGGGGGCGGCCGTTGCCGTCCCCTGTTGTGATTCTGTGGCATCTTCCATGTTTGGGGATGTTTGGGGAGGTCTTAACAGACACCATGTGCTTGAAGGCGGATTTCTTTCGGGAGCAGCTATGTCAAGAAAAGGCTTCTCGGAGGTTCATGGGGGCGGTCACTGACATGATTCGTTTAATGAGCCAGCTGGCCATCCGGCCAGCCAAAGAACCAAATCTTCAACCTAAACAACCAAGTCAACGGCAACAAACACAAATACCAAGCTAGCCAAAACCGGCAAGCGAACCAAACAATCAAGCTGCCAAGAAAACCAAGCTAACCCAGCAAATAGACCTCCAAATGGCCAGTCATGGGCCTTGATGGACTCGACGGGAACCGCTAGGCTGCTTGCAGGATGCCCTGTTCAGCAATGTGCACGGGGATGATCCTCAACTGAGTTTGCGTAGCGAGGGGCCCCTGTTCTTCTGAGTTAAACAAAAGGGCTTTGGTCAGCCTTTCAACAACTCCGTACCCTCGTGGCTTCGAGCAGCTTTTGCTCAACACCGTGGCTTCTTGAGGCCCCGCGCCGCTCTTCATTTGGAACCCGCGGCTGAGAGTCTAAGCCCAGCTGCGAGCCAGCTCGGCCAAAGTGCCGGCAATTCATCCGTCGACGTTTCCAGCCAGGGGCGAAAGGGATGTCCTTTTGCCACCTTCTTGAGCGGAAGAGTGGCCTACCCTGGAAAGGGAGGGGGTCAGCAATGCAACAGTCGCCCATCCCGGGCTGTGCGATCAAGCCTAGTCACGTACGCACAACTGTCTTCACTTCTCCCAACTCTGAAACTAGCTAAACTTGCTAAACCTTCCCGCGTAAAAAATTAGTTTGGAGTCGACTTTCGAAACACACAAACTCAACGGCTCAAGGTCAAGCCCAAAAGCAGCACCAGGTGAAAGGGAACAGCATGGCGCGAATGGGGCCTTTCCAGAAGCGGCAAAATCTTCTGTGGGAGGCAAAGAAGCCCCCAAGCCCGCCCTTGAAGACACGAAAAGGTCATGTCCAAAAAAATAAACGACTCTCGGTAGGTATTGATCAAACCCAAAGAGCCACGAAAACGTACGGCCTCTTTTCCGAGAAGCTGCCGGAGCTCACGCCGCAAGTGGCTCTGAGATTCCAAGACCTGCCATGCCCCGGAAGGCATGGGGAAGGGAGGTGTTTGCCGACACAAACAACAGCACTCGCGGCTGCCAAATCGATTCAACCAGCTAAATGCTCTGGGGCGGAACTCCAACTTTAAGCAGAAACCTGGAGAAATGGTTTGGTGGTTGCAACATGCTCAAATAGGCGCCGGGTCTCCCCGTATCCTTTCGAAATCAACACAGGGCTTCCAAACATGGCGGGCCCCGAGACAAGCCTCTAAATCGTTGACTGGTAACCTCCACGAATCCCCCGTCTTGGTCTGCAATGATCTGCAAGACCTATGACGACTGCTCCTGCGAGCCTATTCAAGGTATTGCAAGGAAACACACGCCTATCACATCAGCCTGACATCCCAATGAACGCCGCAAAAGAAAGGCAGGGAGTTTCAGGATAGAACTACATTCCCCTGCGGCACTTGCTCCAGCTGCATCAGCTTTACATACACCACATGTATGGTAGCCCCTCATAGTTGGTGCCCATGCCCGTAAGGGCGAATAGCTCCTTGGTGAAGCTTGAACATTGTATGATCAACTTTCCCAAGGAGGCAACCAAAGCAATGGCAAGGGTAGGCGTGTCACTGTTTGGGGCTGGCAATTCAACACAATTAACCACAATTTGCAGCTTGCAACACTCGATATTATTACAAATGGTCGCTTGGCCGATTCCCTATTTACGTTGCACAATGACAACTCAGAGTATCGCATACATGGAGAGTTGGCTGGATTGCTTGTAACATTAGCCGAATTTGGGTCCTTGTGTCTTGAGGCAAACCTGGTCGCCTCCTCACTTGAGGAAACAAAGCATTGCTCAGGTGCCTAATTTCAAGAAGAAGTGACACACTAGCTTGGGGCTGGACCCTCCCTGTTGTTTTCCAAACGCAATGCCACTCACCACCCACCACACCAAAAACAATCCATGGCACCCACCAGGCTTGGGCTTCTGCCCCATGAAATATCAGTTGGGATCGGAAAGGGGGGGTTGGTGCCCGAGTCCCGAGTCGGGTGAGCCCGGACCAACCCTTTCCAGCTGGCCTCCTTTGGGTCCGCCAGCAGATCCAGCCGCACCCGCAGGAGCCGCAGCAACGGTGCCACATCTGCCCTCAGGTAGGCCGGATCAAATCAGCGGTGATACTCCGGAATTTAGGCGTCAGAATGGGGGACCAGCAAAAATAGTGGTTTGCCTTTTCGGCGTCCTTTGAGCCAAGGTGAGAAGGGGACCCTGAACAAACATGCGCGCTCGCACAAGCAAACACATACACACATTACGTATGAGAATACTACCAAACTTTGATTGGGTCACTGACTACCAACTATATACTCAGTTCTTGCATATGTGAGTTGCGCTTATTGGCCTCCCAGGCCACACCAAACTGACAATACAACGAGAACCGATATATCCCCAAAACCGATATCCAAGCTGCAAAACCCATAAAACATGGCTCACCATCATGATGATAACTATCTGCTTTGCATCCCAAGCAATGTCTAACGTCACACGCTCTGCCTGCTCCCTCCCATCCGCCTCTCGCAGGTCGAATCGGTGTCCTGCGGCAAGGTGTGCCCGGTGCAACACAAAGGGAGCGGCATAAATTGAGATTATTTCTTAACGGGGGCCCAACAAAAGGTGCACTAAATAAAAATGAAGGTCCACTAAACTGAGATTAGGGCAATCCAAAGGAATATCTGAAAAGATTACTGGGTCCAGAATGATTATCCCAAAGCGGGGGCTTCCCAACAAGCCCCCCCACCCCAGTATTTGGAGTTCAAAGACAACCCGAAAGGAAGCCGCCCGCGTTTAGAGGTCCCCCCAGTGGTGAAAATGAGAGCAACCTCCGACCTCCACGGGTAAAATTGAGCAACATTGATGCGGCTCCCTCCTCGCATGCTGGCACGAAGCCTTGCTACCAGGCTTGCTGAGATATCTTCAAACTAAGGTAAATGACTCGCCCAGCCAATCAAAGCCTCTCCTCTGTATCCATAACTCCGGAACGCAGAACTTCCAGCAAAAAGTAGCATGCGCTTCACATGCCCTGAGAGGACTAGGCTTGTAACCTTAGTGCCTCAGCCCCAGATGACAACCCCACAAACAACAGGACAAAGGAATACACCCAAATCACGTCCTGCAGCGCCTTGACACCTTCCTGCACCTGCGCACGGCGCGGTGCCATGGTGCAACTCGCATCCAGCTGAAGCGCAGCTTGCATGGAGCAGTCTGCTACTCAAAACTCAGGATGCCTCTTGGAGGCCAAGTGGTCTAGCTAAACTTTTTGGGCCTCCCTTCAACATTCATTGTGCGGAGCAAGGCTCTTGCTTTGAGACATGCCCCAATATCAAGCTGAGGCCAAATCATGCCCACTTGTGAATTGCAGGATCCGAGAAAAACGACATCTACATGCGATCTTTATTGATCGGCCCGTGGGGCCAAGTGTCAGGGTTGATTCATTGATGGACGAGGGCCGCTTGCAGAACAAATGGCATAGTGTTCCATTTGGAAGTGCCATGGGAAGTAATGTGCCTCTGTGCGTGGTGATTCACAAGAATCTACTCCTGATGCAACTGCATGTTCATTGGCTCAAGCTTGGTTGTAATTCCAGGGCCTATGCCTGTTTTCCACAGCAAAAAGGGTTGAAACAGGCCAGATCCACAGCCTGTTGGCACGTTACATGTCGATGTTTGGGTAGGAAGCCCCATTGCAAGGGGTCAATCACATGGCAGCCCTGCTGCTGATGTAGCAGTTTCATGGATGTGGTTTCCTTTACACAGAAATCACTGGATTTATCCTTCAAGATCTGCAATTTATGTCAATCTGTTGGCATACTAGTGGGCTTCAAGCGGTCCGAAGTGATCAGCCGCGGGCCGCTGCTGAATCGTTTTAAAAAGCCCGTGCGAGCGAGGAAGGGGACTTTTCTCAGAATGTGCCTAGATGCCCGTGCAAGAAACCACATGGATATGCGCACGTGAGGAAGAGAACAAATGGATTCAGTTCCGTTTAGAGGGCCGACCATAGGGCTAGAGGATGATTCCAGCGGATCGATTCACTCTGCGAGCCAAGGGCCTTGTTCAGACGCGCGAGCGCTGCAAAGTCCCTTGCCCAGGCGGGCACCTTGGGATGCGGCACCTGGCGAGGCTTGAAATTTGGTTTAGGCAATCAAACCCTTGTCCCAACTGAAGGGAACCAAAGAAGATTCCTGCCAGCCAAGGCCTGGCTCACTTGCATGCGGATAACTCGGTGCCTATGGGCAGTTGCCTGGAACACCGAGATCTCCTGCAACCGAGTCAACAATGCTCCAGGAAACGGAACATGCATCCTCGATTCGGATGCTTACAATTGTGTTTGAGGCCTCGCCAAGTGCACATATCTAACAGAAGCCCCTCAAACCGCCACACCACTTGCGTTGGCGCGGATTTGACTTCATTCCTGTAATGTTGATCAAGGCGTCAATCTCCATCCCTTGCAATCCGTAGGCCAGCGCTCACCTCCGTGGTGAAGCCCACGCTAGAAGACATGGGCTTTCCACTCCGCAGCCCACGGCCGACCACGCCCGCTGGTCGTGTGTTGGAGGCTAAGGTTTAGCGCAGTCCGGCACTGGTGGCGATTCTCCTAGAAAAGGACAAAGGTTCACAGAGGTTACCAACCCGAAACTCAGCCAAGCAAATCCATCCAAAGCATGACTGTGTGGGCTGCCTCAAGCTCTTGCATGCGGTTGGCAGTTTGCTCTTGCAGGCGCACTCTTAGTGGAAGAAGCCCTCTTACAGGGAATTTCATGTGGGCTCTAGGCCTCTTGAAAACTTTCTTTTGAGGTCTTGTGTTGTTTTTGATTCTGCTGTCCTTCGCTCCACCAAATTGGCCACGTGCACGGGAGGCCAACTAACGGCAGCGATACAACCACAACTAGTGCATGGGTACATCTTGCAACAATGGAAGCCATCGGTGGAAAGGGAATTCTGCACGTCAGATCCAAACCATGGCGCAACATCACCAGCATCACTAGTATTACCAGCATCATCAGAATGTCATTCATAACTTTCCCAAGCAACCAAAAGAAATCGAGGTACCATTTGCCGTCATCCAACCGAATCAGCGTCACAACTGGGAATGAACCAACAACTCCTGGGTTTGGACACAGCACCAAATTTCCAAATACGCAGCAACCCTGGTAAAGCAGGGAAATCTCTTCTGGCGCCGATTCCATGTTTATAACCCACCAAACGGAAACCCACCAAACTAAAAGGGATTCGGAGCTGGGAAATGGAAGTGGATCGACCCCCCACGTTCCAACCGAATGCCTCGTTGCGAAGGCAGTGCTCCATGCCGTAGTCCACCAGCAGCTCTTCGCCTGCCCCTGGGTGTCTTCTTCGCTTCATGCCGGCCGGTCTACATGTTTAGACGCGCTTAGACTCTCCTTTGGGTGTCAGGGGTTCCCTTTGAAAGGGAGAAGGGGTTGGTTGTTTCAGCATATTTCACCCAACGCCAATGTTTCGGCCCGTCCAGCCTATCGGCTTGCTCACACGTATGGCCGCGATGTGCTCCTCCGACGCGCCGATGGTGCAGTTCGGCTCATCGGCCAGGCCATAGTAATGATTCACAAACCTCGGATGAGGTGGTTGTTGGCCAACTGGCATGACTGGCAGGAAAAAGTTGCCAGGCAGTAGACCATGCTTTCCAGGGACAGTCAAACTTTCAAGTCAAATGATCCATCAGGAGCTCGCTTTCCAAGCCCAAGCGAGAATCAAAAAAACAGCCAGAATGATGGACCAACGATCTGTTGGCCGGAAAACTCGGGAGATGGGAACACGTCAAAATAGGGGGCCCAAAAAATCAGCTTTCTTCGAGTGAGGACTTTGCAAACGTCTGAAATTTGCACAAATCGTGAGCCCTGGGGAAGGATCTCTCCGGTGGACTGAAGATTCGCCTCGTAGCGCCGCCTCGTTGCAGAAGTAGGCAGCATCCACCACGAGGCCTGGTGGCATGGGAATCTGTCACAACTGGCATCATTATTATGACCAATCATCGAGAAAAAAAAAGCCTGTGTCCCAAGGAGTTGCATCATTGCATCCCTCATTTCGACCAAAGATCACTATGGTCCGCTTTAAGAATCGGGTGACTGATGAACATGGTTGGAGGAGAACGTATCAACTTCCTAGTGGCATCATCATTTTACCATCCCGCAGTCACCCCGCAGTGGCAGATTCCAGGAGAAGCAGGAAGCACCACAGTTTGTGACGAATCGGGTTCTCTTGAAGATGGGAAATAACTTTGTTTGGTTGGTGTGCGAGAGATTCAAGATGACGCTTACTCCCGTGCAGATTGACATAGAACCCCAAAAAGGACCTCCCGAAAAAGCACATTGGACTCAGGGTCCCATTTTACTGATCGGGAGAGACACCTGTCAGGACCGTGGCCGACTCAATATACACTAAACCAAAACCAGGGTCAAGAAGGCTGCTGGCTTTGGCTGTAGCTGAGCAGAATGGGGCGAACCACACGTTTGACTCTATTGGAGGTCAACAGTGGTAGAAACCCTTTTGCCCACCTTATACCAAATCGCCTGAGCGAATCGCCTAGATGGAGGCTGCTCCCATGTGTGCCCCCCTACGAAACGATTGTGGAAGTGGCCAGCAGACTTTGGGAAGACTGCCATTGTTACGGGATAGAACTTCTTTCAAAAAGGAGGGGCCGCCAACCAATCTGGCGAAAGAGCTCCAGAGGCTGGGGCAACCAACAGCATGTCGTGTTGAAACAAATACCAAACAAATGCTGCTTCAATCTGTGAAAATCAGGGCTTGGTTTTACATTTAATCTTTGAACCCTCGCCCTCCGCCTGTGGCCATCCAAAATGATCCCGATTTCGACGGAATCGGCACACGATGCTAGACCAGACTAAGCAATTGCTTTTGTTACTTTCTAAATGGGCAAAGCAAGGCAAATTCTTAAGCAATTTTGGTCAAACCAACAGAAAGCAAGGCCGGGTGGACTACAAGGCACCGACTGCCCCGCCCCCCCCCGACCCCACCTGGGCGTGGCTTCAAGGAGTACTTCTCGGAGTAGCTGTCGTGCTCCTCCTCCCCGTACACCTCGCCTGAGGAAACCAAAGGGCTTACCATCCAGCAAAAGTGCTGAAAAATCTTTCAGGGGAATCTGATTCGAAGGGTACTGATACTTAAAGCCTTTCTTGCCACACAGCGCCTCAATGTCTCTCCTCATACAGGAAAGGAGTGTTTCGTTTCGATGACCCGGCAAGAGGGCAAATGGAACCATCCCAGATCTCACCCACACCCCGGTGTTGTGGGGATGCTCCATTGGTTCTTTTTGAATGGTTTCAAGCTCGGGCTACCAGCAGCAAGCACTTCGGCTGTTCGCAGTACATCCCCGCAGTGAGCTGTCCTTCCGCAAAGTGCAACCCCGGCAAATTCCAAATCTTATGTTGCCAGCATGCCACATGCCTGACAGAAACCACAGCTTGTACCGAGGCCCTGCGAGTGAACAACTCGGGGAGGTTGTCCAGATCATGTTGTTGGGGGTGGGCGTCCTTTCCACTATCATTCAAGGGCTTCTCGTGTTTGAGGGTGTCATGAGAAAGTGGAGCCAGGATGAGAAGGAAAAGTAGATCCAGCCTCCAGTGGTGCCTTGCATGTAAAGATCCCCCACCCTCCTGGAAAACGAACCCAAACATACAAGAGGTCCCTTGCATTGTGAAAATTCACGACGATCCCTTTATTGACAGCAAACCCCCCCCATCACCCTTCCGCTTCCATACATTTGGAAATGAGAATGGTCCTCAAGGCCTCAACGCTAAACTCCACAAAATCGGCCATGTGCAGAGTTGTTGCCAGAGTTGTTGCCAAAAAGGGTTTGATCCTAAAGGCAACCCATATGCATTGCACACAGCTCAAGCCCCATCATCCCTCCCGAGTTCAGCCACTCTCTCCCACGTCCTTCACACACACACACACACACACACACACACGCACGCACGCACGCACGCACGCACGCACACACGCACGCACGCACGCACGCACGCACGCACGCACGCCACGCCACGCCACGCACGCACGCACGCGCGCGCGCGCCTCCCACCAAACCTTTGCCTTGCTTCCTCCTTAATTTGCCTCTATCAAGGGGATGTCAAAGGCTTGTACTAACAAACCTTCAAGAAGAATGGACTCTCCATCAACCTGTGTAAGGGCTACCAGTTCCCAGGCACGTGCTACACCGGCATGGCCAACTTGACTAGGAATATGGCTCGGGAAACCACTGAGGACGCAATAGGTGATGTTGACCCGGATTTCTACAGCGGCGGATTATAATCGAACAAATCATGGAAGTGGACAAGAGACTTTCCTCAGATGATGGTAGTCTTCCAAGACAATGTTGACTTCTATATTTGTCGGAAACAGCGAAACTCCTTGCACCGCGGCCTCCCCGCATTCTACCATATCCGACCTGACAACAAACAGTGCTCCCTAAACAAGAGGCTTGCACCATAGATGTGAAGTGTCCATACCACACCACTCCGGGTGCCTGCGTAGCAAAGCTCCACTCCAGGCTGCAGCCGCTTTCGCGCCACGCACCGCAGCTGTCCCCGCAGCAAGTGGCCCGCGGGGCAGCGCTCCACGCGTACCAAGGCACCTCAGAGGGCCAAGACTTGGCTGAAAAGCCCTGGGAGATGGCTGGATTGAGGCTGTTACAATGGTTGGAACATTCACCCCAATGGCGGGTGGACATAAATCTACTTGTGAATGATGTAAGGTTCACTTTCCACGATGCCATGTTCTGATAACAGAGGCCAAGGAGAAAGGCAAACTGAAAGAGGGATTCGCCTGGCATTGAGGTGGGTCTTCCAGGAAGACGGAAGATTCTCACCGAGGTCGGTGAGGAGTGTGCAAAAAGTCCGTGAAACATGTTCTCCCCTCCTGTGACGAACCTCCAAGTCTGCAAAATGATGCATGCACCAGCGTCTTATGTGTGATGACATACGTCGTAATAAAAACATGTTGCTAAACCCCACGGTATGTCATGTGCACTGTGACAAATGACCGTAATAGGACACTTCACTTTCAAAGGAGAAAGGTCGCTCAATCCCAAACCTGTTGGATTGTCAAATTGAATCTATTCGCCATGTCTGTAATAATATGTCTGATATGGTGCCAAGGTTGACGCAGTAATCAGCCGTTTATGGCATCTATGGTGACCTTGAATTGGGCATCTTGCAAAGGTCTGGCAAGACATGCTAGCTTGAAATGTACGGGAGAGCCTTGCAGTCCCGACCCCCTTTATTCAGGCACCACAATGGCAAGCAAATATCATTGGATGTTTATAACAAATAATGCCCCTCAAACGAAAACTGGCTTGCTTTGAATAGGTCCTGCATTGAAACCACAACCATCCAACAGCGGGCTCGCTTCCAAACGTAACGTTGACCCCGGATCCCTTCTTGAATGGGAGAACGGCCCCGATTTACTAGCCATTCAGAAACTGGGTACCCATCTCCCCCCTTCCCACTTCTTCTTTGACCTCCAACAATGCACTTTCCTTGTGAAATTGTGTCCTGTGCTTGCATGCTTCTGGTGGAAGGATGATCCAAGAAAGGAAACTGTGCAGTTCCCCTTTGTGGACATGAACTGCCCCTGGGTCAAAGTCTAACTTGGGCCAATCCAAGTGGAAGCAATCCCTTTAACAAAGCCTTTGATATAGAACTACCCCTTTACCTACATGTATTGTATATATATATACATATTTACACGTACACTTTGATACACAACTAATAATATACCCCCCCTCCCAGAGGCCCACGCTGGGCTGCGGCCTCGCCAGCCGCGGGTCCGGCTGCTGAAGCCCGCGATTCACGCAGCGGGGCACGAAGGCGCGAGACGGAGGGAAGTCGCCGAAGGCCTGGCGAGTCGCTGAGTCAAGCCGATTCTGTGCCCTTCCCTTCAGGTTGAATCAACCCTTTTTCAGTGAGCAACTACCTCAAAAAGGGGGGAAACTCGGAAGCCCATCTTTGGGAATGCGGTATGTACCGGGTATGCGGTATGCATGCAACTCGGATTTCCGAACGCCTCCCCGTAGTCGCACCGAAAGCGGCCGCGCCGCAACTCCGCGAGGCACGAGAGGCAAACCCGGGCGCGCATGAGAGAATCGTGGCTGGCGCACCTCGAATCACCGCATGTGGGTATGTTTTGAGATCCATTTGTCGGGCTCCAATTGGGAGACAAACTAATTATGCCGATGTGGCGGCTTCCAGGGAAAACATGAAAACCACCCAATAAGACAACCCCATAATGCAAGAGAATACGACAAACATGCTATGAATCAAGCCCTTCTGCAAGGTCCACATATGGGAGGTTTAACTGCTTCCGAATGCTTGGAGGCAAATTCCAAATATTGCCATTTCCACAATGTGTAAAAGTTGCGCTTGGGCATGGGGATGCATATTTTCCCAGCCCCTGCTTGTATTCCTTTGGGGAAAGTGACAAATACCGTGTATGTTGCACAAAGGCCAATGTCAGGCTGCACTTTCCGTCGCAAGCCGAAGGACTGTGTGATTCCTTTGGAGCCAAATGGAGTGTCACAACCAGACATCGGCCCTGCGAAGATGGTGAACCAAGTTGCTTCCCTTTTGACATGCATGATTGACAGGGTTCATTAGGGCTGGCCCCAAAGGGTGATGTTTAAACACCTAAAACCGGGTCCCCGTTCCATAGACTGTTTACATTTGCATTGGGTGAGTACCATGTCCCCCCACCCAAACTTAGCGGATGTGCCATGGCAAAAACTGCTCTTTTGTTCGCCGTGGCTTCAGTGCCCTCAAGGGGAATGTCTTACGCTGCCGATGAGAGAACTTGTGTTGGCCGTCAGGGTTTCGGTTGGGCCACCTTTTGGGAAAGATTGGCATAGAACCAATCTCCCCAATCCAACCCCACTAAGGGGAATCCCACCCTACTAGGTGGGCTAGTTGTCTTTGCAACAAGATGGGCCCAAAAGGGCAACCCCGGGCCGGGCCGACCCTTTGCTTAAATCTGTTCAAACCGTTCAAACAATGTGTTGCGAGTTCCCCTCCCCTTCCAAGGGACCAGGGTGCTGCTTAAACATTTTCTGACCCTCAGTACAGTGACGAGACGAGTTTCGCTATCCATGACACGTGGCATCCTTGAGAAGAATGGCACACATGGGCAAATCGATTATTAGCATGATCATCCACAGACTAATATTGGCATGAACATGAGAGATCCCTTCAGCAAGAGCTCAAAATTGAGGAAAGACCGGACCTCACAGCAGTATCTCCCTTGGAGACGGCGCCGGCAAACACGCAAGGGGCCCGTACTTCATGTTTCACTCTCAACAATGCCTGCAGCTTGTCGCCTACATATGCGCATCCACCGGTTTGTGTGACCCTTTGGGCTAGAGATACATTCTTAATGTTGTTCACCGGCTTTCCTCAAAAACCGGTTCATGCTGGCCACATAGCTCAAGTGCCAGTCCACCCATCGGGACAAATGGCATCCTGACTCTCCAGGTGCAAGAACACGGGAAATCCGGATACAAACAAAATGCCCAGTGGTGGCCCTCGCCCCGAGCGCCTTGGTTGGCACAAAGTGGCGGGGTTCCTAAAGGGCCTTCATGTTTCAACCTGTGCGCAACCCTTCCCAGGTGTACCTGGGTACACCTAGCCTCCCTAGAAATGGCCTTTTCTCGTCGGCCACACGACCATCACAAGCTCCTTTGGCCATCACGGCAGCATGGCGTGTGTGACCTCTGCTCCAGCAGGGCAAGGCCGGTGCACACGGGGAATCTTTGGCCAGCCGTGGGTCCCCCCTTCTGTGGCGTCCCCAAACAGGGAAGCACACGAAATGGGGTGGGTTCCTTGAAGTTCCTTGTGGTACGAAACCGGAAAGGGTACTGAGCCCCAAAGAATGAACAAACTTCAGGCGGAGTCCGGTGTCTGGCGCCTCGCCTCTTTTCATAGGGACGGTGAAACATTAAGTAGACACATAATGTCATGTAGTCCTTCGTGCGTTACTTTGCGAGTGACTTGGGGGAGTTACATGCTCACCTGCCAATCTGGCCCTGCCCAATAAGATTGACAGCAAGCACCTGCTCACTCAAAAAGAGGAACGAGAGACATCCAATTCAAAACAAACCAGGCAGAAAGGGATCGCGCTGGGTTTGGCTGGCCTTTGGCCGTTGGCCTTATCGGATCCTCGTCGGCTATGGGCCGACTGTGCTCAGCAGGAGCGCGGGCCATACGCAGCCAACCATTTCAGGGGCAAGTCCAAAAGGATCCCTGGGCCGGGTTGGTGACCCCCTGCGAAAAGTCAGTCCCTTTCCCCCGTAGAAAACCACTAGATCAAAAGACCAAAGGTCAAAACAAACAGCAGCTATGATGTGAACCATGATGGTATTTAAGTTGCAGTGGACATGCGGGAATGTGGGAATACAGGCAAGCTCGGGTGTGTGGGCCAAGTGAGATGAGCTTGGAGCAGCTTCCGTTAGGATTAAGGAATTTAAATCCCCTGATTGACATTGATGTGCAAGCCGAATAGGCAGATACCCTCCAAATCCCAAACCAAATTAAGGGCTGCACTTTGCAACTGCATGGCACTCAAAAACACCCCTTTGCAAAGGAACCTCCTTTCGTGGCTCCTGGTGGGTTTCGATAGAATCTCAAGCCAGTCCCCTTCGAGTTTGGAGCCGCGTGTCGTCCTATTCCTCTCCGCCCCCCCGGCCCGGCTGCATAGCTTCCGCGCGCTATGGGCCATCTTGGCCCAAGTTGTGGCGCCCAGAGGTCGGGGAGTCTCGAATTCTCAGGTAGTCGATTGGCGTTCCGGAAACTCACAGAACTCAGGAGCCGCCTTGAACAAGCCCCGAAACGAACCGACATTTTGCAGATTCTTTGCTTGTTGCAGACCCATCAAAGTCCTCAAGCAGCGGAGTTCGCTTCGGCCAGCACCAGCCTCTGCCTCTGTCACTGCTTCTTTGCCTCTGCCTCTGCCTCTGCCTCTGCCTCTGCCTCTCTCTCGCTCTCTTCCCTCTTTCTGTCTTCCTCCCTGTATCTCTTCCTTCCATCCATCCATCCTTCCGTCCTTCTCTACTTCCCTCCTTCCCTCCTTCGCTCCTTCCCTTCTTCCCTCCTTCCCTTCTTCGCCCCTTACCCCTTCCCTCCCTCCTTTCGTCCTTGCTTGCCTGCCTGCTTGCTTGCTTTCTTCCTTTCCTTGCTTCCTTGCTTCCTAGCTTCCTTGCTTCCTTCCTTGCTTCCTTGCTTCCTCGCCTGGGAAACAGGTCATGCTGCTGTCTCAGCACCTGTTGTGATACCTTGCCCCTCCCCCGCCCCCAATTTCTTCTCATTTCCTGTATGCAGGAAGCCCGCCCATTCAGGAAACATCCAGTTTCAATTGGCCCACATGCTGTTCAAAACCACACAAACGAAGAACTAGGAATGAGAATCAACAGCCCTCGTCATTTCCTTTGGGAGCAAACATTTGGCTGGGAAGCCTGCTTCCTCTTCAAGACTCCCGGCCAGAAACCGGGCGCTCGAATTGGGCATGCACCTGCCAATCCCGCGGAGATTCTCCTGTGCCCACGCTGCAAGCACATTCCGGCGAAGGAGTTAAAGGCATTACTTGTTGATTCTTATTTCTCCGCAGCCAGTTGGGAAATTATTTGACAATGGGGATGGTTGCTTGGGGTCGGTGGCCATTCCCTATGTGCCAAGAACCGGCAAACAAAATCCGCCGACCCTCTGCCTCCCGTCCTAGCCCCGGTCCCAGGACGGGTCCCAGGACGGGTCCCTGGCCCTGGGACCAGTCCCGTGAGGGTTGGCGGCAGCAGCGGGAGGAGAGAGCAATGCAGAGGTCGGACAGGCCTTCAAACGCTCTCCTTGGATCCGGCAAATTCGTCAGCTCATGCAGTCCGTGATGTTCACAATGACAGAGTAGGTATTGACCTGGCGCTTCAACATTGACTGAAGCGATGTCTCAAGAGTTGCATCTCAAGTCATCAGGAGGCATTTCTGTTGTTGCATGCATGTAGTCTCTTCGCAGTTGGAACGAACTGCTGGGGCTCCTCAGGGGCTCCCTATTTAGAAGCCCACTTTGTACAGATGCACAGCTCTCACACACAATTCAAACAGTTGGAGGCTCTCAGACTCTGGCTTCCAACTATCTGCGGAACAACACTTGCGAACGCCGCACTCCCGAAACCGCCGCAAAAAAAGGAACACGCCTCCCCTGGCGCCCACGTCACGTGGTTTTCTTGCAACACCAGGGGAAGGCGGTCGGCCGCGCCTAGGGCAAACGCCTCACATATGCCAGAGTCAAACGAAGGAGTTGTTTTTTTATGGTACCTCGTTTTGGGGTCGTTTCAAAGCGAAACCAAAAGGACAGCACCCATTTAGGGGAGAACAAACCCAGAAGGTGTACGAAAAGTTGGGGGACCCTTGTTGGATGGTTGTGGTTCCCAGGGAAGTATCCATTTTAAGGCTACCTGCTATTTCTGGAAAAAGCCAGTCATGAGTTCCTGAATGAGGATCCCAATAATCGAAATGCATACAGTCGTGACGACCATCCCGGTCACGGGAGAGCCGCGGATAGCACTTGCCCCAAATGGGTGTTTGCTCCCAAATCAACAGACCCGGGGCCGGCTCTCCCTCGCTCATGGCTTCAAATTTGAGGTACGTGCTCAAAGGACAGGGATGCTGGGGGTGGGGAAGCACAGACTGTTTGATTCCTGCCCATCGTGTTCGACAACTTTCTAGATTATGCCCCCTCATCTGTTTTGTTTGCTCTATCCTTCTGGACCAGTTTGCTGGGCTCTGAGGACCCCGTCAAGCGTCGCTGCGAAACACTTGCCATCCACGAGGCGTCAGAGTTCTGGCACAGGCGAGGGACAAATAGAGCAAGGCTCCCTATTCGACCAAATGGCAGTTCCAATAAAGGAAAGGCTCTTTGCTAGGCAAAGGAACTCAAAAAGGCAACCGACAAGAAAAGCAGGGAACCCCTTGTTGTTTGGTATCTCAAAAAAGGGAGCCAAAAAGGAAACCAACCAGCTGAGTGGGCTCCCTTTTCTTGAAACACTCATGTGAGGGCGGCTATCGCTGGAGGCTCACATGATGGAGCACACCTCCTCGATCTCTTCCAGAGGTGGTGCTGGTAGCTCCGACTCCCTCTGCCATGGCTCCAGTTTACCCACCGGCGTGCCATACCTCGAAGGCGAGAAAGACAATGTTCCCCTCATTCATAACCCAATTCCAGAAAGCCAGTCTGTGGCTGAAGGGTCCGAATCACTTTTCAAAGGAAACGCCCCAAAAAAAAAACAACAAGTACCAGAGCCAGGTTGATCCGGGGTCAATATTCCCTCTTTGCGTGGTCTCCAAAGGTTGATGCGCATCCTTCTTGTCAGAAACCACCTCCTTCCGTGGGCGATAGAAAGACAACTTTCGAACAAGAGGGATCCCTAGAGATCGAAATGGAAGGGTACTGCTGCGGATATAGTCTCTACACACATAGCAAACACTATGCGAAGCTGCACGCAGCTTCTTTTCACGGGTTGTACCAAAATTGGCTTTGTCTGTCCTTGAACTTTGGCGTGCCGCGCACTTGACCTTACAAAAAAAAAAGGACTCGCTCAGGACTTTGAGAGGGCTGCAACAAAAGCTGTTATCTTACCAGGGCAGCACATCCAAGCAAAGCCCTTCTCGACACTTTCAAGGCCATCATAATCTGGACGTACTTGCGACAGCAAATGCGACGCATGGCAGCGTTATCACAACATCTCAGTCTCAAACCCCTAGTTGTCAACCAGGCCGTCACCCACGGGCAGACCCCTTGGAAGCCACAAGCTGTCGTGGAAAGGAAAAGAGTGGATTCACACAGGCCATGTATTGTTGCATGACACGCCGGATCTCCCCCCCAAACAATGGACAGATACATGTGTATAGTGTGTATATATATATATATCGGGAAGACAAATTCCCCATCATTTGCGGAGGTGTATGCTTGCCCAGAAAGGGAAAATGGGACGCCGTCTTCCTCGAATTCAATTTGAATGAGGAGGGAATGGGTCTTGGCATTTTGTCTGCCTCTCCAACACGTTGCTTTTCGCCCCGCTGAAGTGGACACCGACGAGAAACCAGGAGAAAACAAAAGAAAACCACAGGGCGTCAAAGGAACCTCAAATGCACGCTGGGAAAACAAGCACATCGACTTTGAGCAAGGGAGTTTGCGTTCTCGGGTTTGTTCCAACCCGCACCAGTTTTCTGACCCCTTTCCAGTTGTTTTTGGGTATGAGCCTGCAAAATATGCTGCAAAATAAGCTTCGAGTGACGTCCCTTCAGGTCTTGTCTCCCTTTCAAGGCACTCGGTGGTGTACCAGGCCAGCCAGCTGCAGACCCCGGCCATCTTGTCCTTGCCGAGGTCCCGGGCCTTGAAGAGGTCGTAGAACTTGTTGGTGTACTCTACCGTGTCCTGTCAAGTGATAGAAGGGACCCTACGGGTTGGGTTGGCAACAGCTCGTCTCACCGCAAAAGGGAAACTCGCGCCTTCGGGGTCCCCTTTCTGGCCTGGTTTAGTCATGGCCGGCAGAGTGGATGGTTTCAGACTTTCAGAACAGCTTTGTTTGCCATCCAGGTCGACCATTTTGGTTGGCCAACCCCAAACAAACAGGGGGGCACTGAACAATTGTAGAACACCGGCTTGGAAAGAAACAAAAAGGAGCCATGTCCTACAAGTACGAAACAAAAGCAAACAACAAGAAGCTGCAACAGCGGAAAAAGAGGAAAGTGACACTTCCGGCTCCCAGGTCCAAAAGTGTCCAACGCAAGAAATTCAAAGGGTTGGCCGCAGTTGGCATCTGTTTCATGGCGTCAAAGGCATTGACTCAGGGCCAGAGCCTGATTACTGAAACGTGCTGCAACCAACTCCCAGCAGCACTCGTGGTGCTTCCCTCCAGCCAGTGGTGCTTTGAGCCCTTGCTTTTTTTTGCCGGGGGGGGGGGTCCCCTCAAACTGATTTGTCGAAGCCCCATCGCTGAAACCTTTGGCACACACTCAAACTAAAGAGGCTCCTCAATAGCGCAGATTTGCCGCGTTCCACTTCCCCAGCCCTCCCCGTTGGGCCCTGCCCGCGACTCATGTGTTGTGCGGCTGCAGCTGAGGGGCAACCCCGGCGAAGAGGCCCCAAGTCAGATCCCGGCCAGTCAGGCTGGCATAGGGGCCATTGGGGTCGTACTTGTCCGGCCGGTCGGACACATCGAAGATGTCGCCTTGAGTTTGGATCAGCGGCCACGCTTTGCTTGTGGGTTAAACATGCAAAGCAAAAGTTGCGAAAACGCTAAGTCTGAGTCTGGCCGAGCTGCCGTAGACCGACAGCAAATACCTGCGGCCCTTGTTGTCGGAGCCATACTCCTCCAGCTGTTCGGGAGTCAGCAAGCCCACTGGGCTCTGGTAGTCAGGCGGCACATCCACATTGTCCGGCCTCTCCAGGGGCCTGTGCCCGCCAGACAGGACAAGGCCCTGTTTCTGCTCCGGCTGATAGATCTCGTCGGTCTGGAGCGTGGACCTCTTGGATTTGGCGGCCTCGGCCCTTTGCTTCAGCTCTTCGTACTTGGCTCTGAACATATCCGTCATCGCCGTCCTGTAGTCATACCTGACTTGCTGAAGGACCTGTTGAAATGACATAACCTTGTGGATGTCCATGCCCAAAGCAGGTTGCCCAAACCGGTCAGAAAAACCAGGAGTCCAATAGGCCGAAACACGTTTCCGTTTTGGGCAGCCGAGAAACAGATCCTGCAATCCCCCATGTCCCGAGCCTCAAATGGACCATAGGCTACTATTAGGTTGACCGAACCTCATATGAGTGCAAATGACCCTGGTTTTCCTAGTAAGCACCCTTACCATGCTGGCCTAAAATCCGTATTGAGGTTCTGACCCGTCCCTACCAGTCCCCAGTAAAAGGGTGTTTTGTCCATAGCACATGTGAGTTGGAATCAATTCCTTCAGATGAATCAAGGTGCCTCTCCTTCTCTCCGGGCTTCCCGTTCTGCCACAAATACTCGCCGTTGGCGCCATACCTTGCGACCAGTGGCCAGTGGATCGGGTGATGCTTGCTTGTGTCTACTGGGGAACTCTGTCAAGGATATTCTTTTCCGAAAGGAAAGCAACAAAACCCTCAATACAAGTTTCTTGGGGTGGATCCCTCTTCCCTTTGTCGCAGGGACCCCCCCGCCAAAAAAAAAAAGAACCGGGAGGACATATGGTTGAGCCAAAAGTTATGTTATTTTCCACCCAAACATTGCCCCATCGAGGGAGGACACCTGTTCAAAGGCCATCAAACAGGGAACCTGTTTAGGCCTCCCACGCAAAAGAAGAAAGGGCGTTTGCCAATTAGTTGAAACTGTCAAAGGCAACCCGCCGCTTTCAAAATCGGGAGGAACAAAACAATATCTGTTAACCATGTTAAAAAGAAGGAGGGCTATGTATATATATATATGTGGATATCCCACCCAATTTAATAAGATCAAGCAGTATCCCCAACAGTCATGAAACCTCCCGGAGCTTGCCACAGGGAGGTTCCTGAAATCCTCCAGAACCTGCCCCAAGACCGCCCCACACCTGGGATTGGCGAATTGACCCCCAAGGCTATCGCTGCTGGGAAAAAAGAGAGAGAGAGAGAGAGAGAGAGAGAGCGAGAGAGAGAGAGAGAGAGAGAAAAAAAAAAAAAACATCTGCTAATTAGTCAGGACCCAACAAAGACCACCATCATTTGTGATCCCTTTTCCAAAGGACATCCCCGCCTCCCTTTAACCAAGGGAGCATATGCCATCCCTCCCTCAAAGTGTTCCCCACCCTCTGGCCCCAGTTGCAACCAGTGACCCGAACGGGAGATAATTATTAATGAAAACCCTTTCTGCTGGTTGGTTGGTTGGTTGGTTGGTTGGTTGGGTGGGTGGGCGGGCGGGCGGGCGGGCGGGTAGGTGGGTGGTTGGTTGGGTGGGTGGGTGGGTGGGTGGGTGGGATAGGTTGTTGGGTTGATTCCATGTTTTGTGGTTTCGGAACCCAACAAAAGTGGATGTCCAGGGCAATTCACCGTGAAAAGTGAAAACTCACCCTTTCTGTGATAGCCGTGGTTGATGCTCATGACCAGTTTTTTTCACTTTGAAGCGGATCCCGTGGCCCTACAACCTGGAGCAAATGAGAGGAAAATAGGGGGCCTCTCGAATATTCAAAACCCGGCCGCTGGGGCTTCAGAACCGGCTCCGGCGGCTCCAGCTTTGAAACCGCCTTGTCCTTGTCGGCCTACGGAGATGGAGGAGTGGGCAGGGGGGGGAGTCCTGAATCGTGACCCATCCAAAGGAAAAACAAAAACTCCCAAAGGGAGGTCCCAAGATCCAAGTGCCCCGAAGCCATGCCAAAAGGCGAGGAGCGGCAGAGTGTGCACAACGCACGCTCTGGGCGCCCACGAGGCCTCCAACCCCCGACGGCCTTCTTCGGCTCCTTCGGCTCCTTCGGCTCCTTCGGCTCCTTCGGATGGACGAATCGGACCAGCCGGGATGTGGACCCTTGAGGAACCAGTTACCTCAGAGGAATCCTCCCGTCTTCCTTCCCTCATTGGCGTCTCTGAGAGGCCCTCCCTTTGGGTGGTTTTAATCTGCAACCCAAACTAAACAGAGCATTCTCAGTGGGGTCAATCAACTTCTCCGGACATTGTTCGTTGTTCAATGGCGCGACTTGCATTACCCTCGAAAGTACCCTCATGGCATGCAGGGGGTTTTGACCGGGGTCCCTCAAAATGCAGAAGGGGCCCAATGATTGGATGTTCCTTTGGATTTCCTCTTTTGCAAACCAAAAGGGACTTTCAACCGCCCCGTCCTTCTTCGAATTCGGCTTCGCTGCCACTTTCGGCGCCGGCATCTCCCCGGGGCAGGCGGCCTTGGACTCGGCGATGCTCCGGGTCACCTCGGCCTTCAGCTGCCTCAGCTCCGTCTTTCTGAACGCGAAGTTCTTTCTGAACCAGGACCTCCCATTGATTCATGTTACCTTCTGGGTTCAAAAGGAAGCCAAGACGGAACTCACCATGTTTGGGGGTGACAAACTTTGGCAAACACCCATGTTGCCTCACTATCACAACATACGGGGTGTCACGGCCATACAGCCACGCTGCGGAACCACGCCAGGAAGTTTGCACTGAGCATCATCCACTGGGGGGGGGGGGGGCCAAGAATTTGGGCTCCCCAACCCTTGAAGACACAAACAAATATGTTCCGACATGGGGCGTTTCCAAAAAAAATAGCAGACTCCTGAAAAGGTCTCAATTTCAAACCATCCAAAAAGAAGCCCTTCCTGTTTTTTGGACACGCCCAAATCATGTTTTTCTCGCCAAGCGGCAGAAGGGCCTTGTTGTCGGCCTGCCTTTCCAGGCCCTTTTTGCACACCTTCAGCGACTCCTCCCACTTCTCTGACAGCTGCAGGGCTAAGGCCCTGTTGTAGTAGGCCTCAGGGTTGAGGGTGCTTCCAAAAACAGGAGGCCCTTGAAAATGGGTGTTTGTCGTTAAACCCTTTTGGGTGGTTTCCCCAAAATTGGGTGGCTGCAGAAACCATGCAGCAAGGGGGTCCCCCCATTTTCGGAACTCATGAGGGCCTCCAACCTGCCGGGTAAAGCAGGACTTCTCTAAGATGACTCCCTGAATGGAAGCGGACCGCCCTTTCTTGATAGATTAACTACGGGATGGGAGTGAGCCTTGGCTGGACAATTGCCCTTCACGGCCAAAAGACAACTGTTGGTGAATGTTCTGCCCTGTTCAGAGCTTGGAAGCCCATGTTCTTGGTGGAAAAACAGCCAAAGAAACCCAAGGGATGTGTTTGGAAACCCATCTTTTTGGGAACGGCTCGCTAGCCTTCACGTTGCTGGGGTCAATCTCCTGTGCAATCTCCGCGTCCGTGGCAGCATCCTCGAAGTTCTGCAGCTTCCGGTTGCAGATGGACCGATTCAGCCAAATGCTCACGTCCTTTCACGGGATCTGGCTTTCGGTTCGCCGGGAAGTCTGGGGGCGAGTGTGTTTGTGTTCGGAAAAGTTTGAAGGTGGGGCAAACCACTTTTGAAAGGCACAAGGTGGTGGACATAGTGGAGAAACACAACGTTTGGGGGGCACAAGGTGGTCCAAACGCTTTTTCGCGTCACAAGCTAAATATCGGAAGCAATCTCAGAATATTACTTACAAAGGACTGAGCGTCGTAGTTGTAGGTCTGCGCAGCTTCGGTGTACACCAGCAAAGCCTCCTCCAACTCGTTCTTCTTGAAGTGTTCATTGCCTTTGATGGCTTCGGATGTGGATCAGCAATAATGGCAATATAGGAGTAATGAGCCCTTGGTTGAGCAATTGGGACCCAGTTTTGCGGGAAACCTACACATTTTGCAACCCGTGGCTTCGTCTCAAATGCGAGTGCCATCCACATTGGTTGGGCTGGTGGCAATTGGCGTCGCCTTCGGTTGGCGTCGTGGATGTCCAAGGCAAAAAAAAACAGCACGTCTTGAATTACATGAAACTTGCACGCTTAAGCCATTTATAGTAAGCACTTGGAGATGCCTGCATGCGCCGTTTCCACGCGTCAAGTCGTTCGGAATTTGAGTTTGTTCAGCTTGGTTTAAGCGTCGCTCGACAGTGCTGATTTCGTCAGTCATTCTGCGTTCATGAAGAACGTGGAAGCTTGCACTTTCGGGCTGAGTAGCTTGTATTCCAGGCACCCAGTTCGACCGGCGCTCTAGTATTTTCGTATTTCTCGGATGTTAGCGAGGAAGTTGCGCAGCTTGCGCACACGGAAAAAATCGTTGGCGCGGTCCAGTTGGCCGCCCTCCAGCCAGTTGTTTACAGAAACGAGCTTCATTTTTATGTTCACCGGGCGGCCTGTGCGGCGCACCACTGCCCTGACAGCTTTCAGCTATGGCATGCATAAGCATGTCCTCATAGTATCTACTTCTGCTGGTCCATAAGTCATCGATTTCCGACGAACGGGCACTGTCGGGCACTTCAACTAACACGAACGAGTTGGGAAAATGCTCACAAGACTTTTCCCACTGCTCCACGGGCATACGTTCAGGTTTAGGAATCTTACAGTTGTTCGCATTCGGAAAGGTCGGTCTTGTCAAATATCGCAGTGTAATACATGCGATCAAGCAATCAAGCAATCACCCAGACAACAAGAACACGACACGACGCAGCGCAACACAAAACAAATAAAACAACACAACACAGCAGAGCACAGCGCAGCGCGCACCAACACAACACACAAACAAACAAACAAAACCAAACAAACAAACAATGCAAATTTCGAGATACCACCAAAGCCTGGACCTAGCAATTCAAGGTCCAGTTTGTCACAACCATCGGAGTCGGACATTTGCAGGAGGTTCAATTTGTTTTATCTCGCTCGGGGCGCTGTGGGGAGCGCTGCAGTCTGCCAAAGCTGCTGGAGCGGCCCACTGGGAGCTTCGGAGTCTGGTTCTGTTACAGGTCTGAGTCGGGTCGGTCGCGCCACTGGCAGGAGCTACGGAGTTTGGTCTGTCACGGCTGTCGTGGTCCAAGAGGACAGCGTCAGTGAGGACCACGCAGGGCTAAAAAGTGCAAATCACGCGGGTGGGGAACAAACATACCAACGGACGGAAGATCAAACGAACTAACAAGTACAAGTGCAAGTACAAGTGAATATCCCAACCAGCCGGGTCACCTTTCTCCTTCAACACCTTTGCTGCCGCCTGGGCTTCTGCCTTGGCCACCTCTGCCGACTGGGCCTCAGGAGGCGGCGGCGGCGCCTTGGCGCTGGCTTTGGCGTCGGGGTCGGTGAACACCGGCGGCGCCTTGGCGTCCACTTTGATCGGCGCGCGGCGGCGGCAGTTCAACGTGTCCCAAATTTTGGCCACAACGCCCATGGCACGACAGTGGGACGATGCGTTCGCCTGCTTGCTGCTTCTGAGTTTGTTCTTTGCTGGAGTGGTTGATACATCTTGCTTAAGATGACCAGACAGTGCAAAAGAGCCATGTTGGCCGCGGTGGAGAGGCATGACCGTGTCTGGGTATGAAGGGTCCGGAGCAAAACAAAACGCCCCTTTCCTTGTGGCACCCAAAAACTTCATTTAAGCCGCAGGTGTGGTCGCACAAGGGTTTGCTGCAACCAGTGGCCGTGGGGAGAAGCGGGATCACATTTGTTGGTGCTTCGTGACCAGGGGGATACTTCTCTGCCAACCCACTAGCCAACAGATTCCACAGAGTCCCCAAAGGTGGCACTGGCAGACAGTCCCCAATGGTAAGTTTAAAGGACTCCCTCCCCAACAAATGGCAAACGGTTGTACAGCCTGACTTTTGTGAAGCATTGAGAGAACAAGGGGAACTCTTTGGTTCCCACTTGCAACTTGCAAGAGTTGCAACCAGAAATCCAAGCGAATGTCAATCGAATCTTGCAATCCTGAAACCAGGCACCTCCGAGAAAGGAAGCGGCGCTCGGTCGCAAACCCCGCGTTTTGAATGCCACACTGGACCGGCGACACAGAACATGTTCACGGCTCAGGCCAGCCCCTCCACTTAGGATGGAGGGTTCGGTAGATGTGGCTGGAGGCCATAGGGGGCTTCGCAAACAAGCGCCACCCTTTCTGGCAAAGTATTCTACATATATAATTATACAATCGTATGCATGTCACCAGGCGGCAGTAGGGAACCTACCCCAAGGACCTTCATCAAGGGCTATCTCGTTTTACCCAGAGATTGGTGAGCGCGGCAATTTGTCCAAACCTTTCCGTGCCTTGCCACCCTCAAAGATCTCGCCCACGACGAAGCCTTGATCCTCCCCATCGATACTCCAACCTGGCTAAAATCCGGAGCGTACGCTAGTTTGCATCGAGTAATCCCCCGAAAATGAGTAAATCCGACTGAGAGGGAAGCCATCTCCAACAAGTTTGAAGGGATGCGTGAATCCGACCAACACATGAGATGCCAGAGATGCCCACTTAGCCAGAAGGGATGGCTTGGGAACTTTGGCACATCGGTATATGCTTGCCCCGACTGGTTCATGGCCGAAGCCCAGGGTACACCAAAAATACTATGTTCAGCTTCTGTGTCATGTTGAGTCAAGCTCAACATACAAAACAATATTTGAGGAGACCCCAGGATTGGTTGGTTCCCTTGTGCATCTTACCTACCTGTGACTTGAACACTCATAGTCCCCTGCCTTTCTCATTGCCCAACCCCCTGCCTGCACCGCCACCGGTGACCCAGTTGGTGTGGGGGAAGGTGCTCGCGACGGTGTCGGTATCCACGTTGTGCCGGTGGCCGCCGAAGTAGGTGATGGAGGGCCCTCGGATAAGGAACCTCCAACCATGCACCCAGGCACCAACCCCGCAGGTATCAACTTGGAGTTACTAAGGTGAGCTGCGGTTGATACAAACATCACGTATTCAAGCTGTCAGACAAAACGCAGGAGCGGCAGGATGTACATAGAACAACCCAAAAAAGGAAGTGAACATGAGCAGTAGTCGCACAACGAAATGGTAACAGAAGAAACAAACACAGTACAGGGGCATGCAGCAGAAACAACACCAACACAATTTCAAGAGCAAAGAAAAATGCTCACACAAGGACAGCGAGAACCAGAAACTACAAGAACCGCAACCACGACAAGCACAACAACGGCGGAAGAGAAGGAACAGCAAGAGAAAGCAGCCATACAAGTATAGAAAAGAAGCGTTGAAACCAAGAGGAACAGGGGCAGTGGCAATAACGAGTGGCAAAAGCGAACACGTTGACAAGTTCAACAAGCACACAAGCAACACTACCATCACACAATACAACGGCAATGATGATCGCAATCACAGCGAACATAACAGCATAACAAGAGCACCGGGTCAGAAACGCACACCAAACAAACCGAACGAACAGACCAGCTGACCAGCAAACCAGACAACCAAACCAGCCAACGGAAGCTTGAAGTCACGGGCTGAGCCGCCAGAAGGCCGCCAGGGTGCGAGAGGCGTTGCTGAGCTCCGGCAGGAAGTTCCGCCAGGTGGGGAACTCGTCTTCGCTCATGCGGAGCCAACTCGGCGACCAGGTCCTAAGCCGTGAGCGCAGGCGCCAGTTTTAAGGGGAGTTCTCGTAGGAATCTGGCCCCTAAAATGGTGGGGTTCCTTGGATCCCTTCAAATGCCAACCACGCATGGTTCCATTCCCTCATTGAGAAGCCGCAAGAGAAAGCAGTGCCGAGATGAAATTGGGGCGGCGGGAATTGGTTTGCAATGATTCATGAGTGTTCAGTGTCACACCAACAAGGTAAACAGTGTTTCAACCAGCCACACAGCGTGGCATGTGGAGCACTCGAGCCCGTGGAGAGGCATTGGCATCTCTCGAAGTGCTGGTAATGGCCATCTCGAGTATGCCAACACAGCAAACAATTGCGGCTACCAAGATAGCGCAGATAGTGATATGCTTCTTTGGCGATGGTTGCTCTTCAAGTTGAAGGAGTGCAAATCGTCAAGCTGACCTGATTGTGATGTCTTGCTGACCATGGGTTGCTCACAGGCCAAAGGGACGAAGAGTAAAGCATTTAAAAGTATGGAGATTTGCCGACGTGTAGTTTCTGCATGATCCCTGCACAGCATGATGTGCTGAGCAATCAACATGCACAAAACACGTGGACGGATTATTTGTCATGAAGAGATCTCACAGAATACCTGATATGATCTACTGCGCAGTGTCAGCCGATGATGTGTTTGGGGCCAGAAGCGAGGCGGCGACAACGGAGACGCAGCCTGGCTCTGTGCAGCCAAGCCTCATGAGTGGGATGGACTCATTCCAGCCTCCCGGAAAGTAATCGGTCGTGTAGTGGGAGAAAACCTCACTTGCCAAATGGGGACCTGCATCCCCTACAGGTCCCCCAGCAAAAAGGCCGCAGTTTGAGTGCACGGTTTCCCGCGCTGCAAGACCCTTCTAGCTCTTGGTTGATCCACTTGTCCTTGGCGAATTAGTTGGCCTGAAACCAGTTGGCCCGTCGGCCAAAAACGACGATGGCCCAGTGCACCGGCTGCTAGTCCGCTGTCCTAAACGCCTTCATGTCGTTAGACGTGCTGATCTTCTGAGCCTATTGCTTGCTCAGGCCAGAAACACATTCAGGGCAGGAGGGGCCCATAGCTTTAAATACAACGTGCAGACAAGTGTGCAAGAAATATCGAGTGCTCGGGCTGGGCACTACAATATTGGAGTTGATGTTCTGAATCCCTGAAACGATTTGGGCGCAAACTGCAGCAAGTTTCCTGACATGGGCACTGGGCTTTGGGGTTCCGAACCCTGAGTATCAGTTACTCGGCCTGAGCAATGCATTTCTTTTGCGCCAGTTGTCTGAGAAATGCATCGACCTTGTGGCTGACGTCAGTCCACACATGTTTTTGCTTTGGGTCCTACACCGAAGCTTGCCCCACATGAAAAGGACAGCGAAGGGGCTCCGAACCACGAAGACACCAAACCAGGACCCTCGGAACCCAATCCAACAACCGCTGCCGACACGGCGGAGCTTCTCTGGGCAAAGCGACCCAAACATCAAGGGGCCGGCCCCTCCCAGTCCGACTCACAACTGCCGCAAGCGGCAGGACCCTTGTGGCTTCTCGCTCGCCCGCTCTCGCTGTGTTTCCGAGTGCAATCGAGGCACCACCAGGTTGGAGGCCTGGCTCCTGCACAGGGGGGAACTGGTCTTGGCAGCCAGACCCTTTGTTTCGAGAGGCTATAGTCCGGAGTCCAAAAAGGCAAGAGCTTGCTGGCCAAGTGTTGAAAATGTTCAAGGGAGCCACCCACCCCGCTCCTTCCCCTGCTTCTTTGCTTCCGAGTTTCCGACGCTCAAACCGGGGCCCCTCTGCCCTCCCCCCAAAACTCCTCTCCACTCGCCGGAAAAACAGCTCCAGGGCCGCCTCCCCGCGGCGCCGCAGGTTCGCCCCTCAGGTCTGATGCGCGCCGGAAGTGTCGCCTAACTAAGATTTCAACGCTGGAAAAAGTCAACAAGGAAGTCTGGAAGATGGATCCTGAGAGGGGAAACCTCTCAAGGAAGTTGGGAACCACCCCAAAGAAGCAAGTGAAGCCCAGCAGGAAATGGTGGGCTTTAAGTGTTCCACGCTTTCCTTGGTGAGAGCAAGCCAGTTGATGCTGGAGATCAAAAAGTGGGCGATGTGGGTGCAGGGTGATCTGCTTTCCTTTGCAGTTGCTGCTTTCGGATCATGGCTGTACCTCCGCTTCCCTTCGGGACCATCCCCAAAAGTGGGATGGTAAGTGCCGGAGCGCACCTGGGATTGAGAAGTCTGGGCATGGTGGATTCCGGGAAAGGGAATGCTGTTTGACGCCTTGTTGTGTTGGCCAACAACCCACCCAACAAAAAAGCTCCAGGAGAATGAGTATAACGAACAGCCCCGGAACCTCCCTGGAACCTGCTCACAACCCTCCAGGAACCTGCCCTAGGGCCACCCTATAGGAGTGTTTGGTGGGGAATGAACAGAAAGTTGCAACGTACGCTTCGTTATCTAATTGGCGACATGTCGGGAAACCTTTCACGGGGTTCAACGCCAAATAGGGTATCTCGGAAAACTCATCAACCTGCACTTAACTTCCTATAACCATAATGACAGATCCTGCTTGCCTGATGTTGTTTCAAAGACAGCTGAAGTTTGGCCAGTTCTTCATTTTTTCCCCAGCGCTATGCGGTTAGCAACTGGGCCTTGTAGGTTCTCTCGATGCAAAACACCAACCATGTCACCCCAGTCAGGATGAGATGGGGAATGGCGTATTCTATTTTCAGACCAGACCGAGTCCGTTGCCATGGAAAACAGGGCCCAGTCCTATGCAAAACCTAGAGGTAGACAAACCTTGCTGGCCTTGTTGCCCACTCTGGCAAGTGAAATCACGGGGCCGAGGCGACCCAAGGGATGCTTTAAACAATAGCGCTACTTCAACAAGCAGATCAGAAGGGGCATATGAAGGCTTATCAACATGCTGTCCCCTTTTGGGGGAAGCCCCTTTGGAGCCCAACAAGGCTCACCGAAATTCGGCCACCTTCTGCCAGGAAGCTGCACAAGTCCGGGCAGTCGGTATGTGGGCAGGTCAGGTTCAGCCAGTTGTAGTAATTCGTGTCCAGGGCGATGACCTGACATGGCCCATGTCCACTCTGCAACAGAGGCGTTTGTTTTCCGGCGTGTATCCTTTCAGATTTCCACACCGACGCAGTCTTGAAAAGACTTCGGCCAGCAGATCCGTTGTTCTCGCCACGTGGCAAACTGGACGCCGGTGGCTAGACATTTGAGACATGCTCTTCCAATGGGAAGAGAGAGGTGCATCTCGCACACTCTATCTTTGGCCGCAATAGGCTGCTTGGCACCAGGCAGAGCAAAAACACACTCCCAATTGACAGAAAGACCCCGAAAAGTGAGTCCTGTGTCTAAATAGTCGATCTCCTTTCAACAGATATTTTGAGGAGTCATGTCAACTTTGGATTCAACCGGGAGACCATACTAATCAATCAAAGTGTTTTGTTTTAGGGGATTCCTCGTATTGGTATGGTCCTCCGGACCAATGAGGGGCTTTCTAAACGGAGCTTCCTCTTACATGAGGGCTTTTCGGGTTCCGTGTTCATCTGCAGCGGGCGTCAGATTGCGGAAGGCTCCAAAGAACCGCCCTGCCTCAGTGTCCAAGTCTGAATGCTCCTTGAACCAGGAGAAGTCAGGCATGAAGAAGAAGTTTAGATCCGTGATGTCGCCGTTGATCTCGGGCGGGCCAACGGGCGTCCTTTTGGGAAAACAAACCAAACACAACTTGGACATGCTTAAGAATAACTTGGCACTTTGGCAAAACACACCCCCAGTCAAGCCCAAAACCCAGAGTGTGCCAAAACTAGAGACCCTCTGTATGAGCAAAAAAGAGAAAGAACAAATTTGACAAAACTACAGTAGCTGGTCCCTTCAAAGAGTCCTTTTGCCTCACAATCTCTGAACAGTTGGGCCACTCATGGCAATGCCTTCCTCCGGGCTTCCTTTGCCAAGCCGCCGGTTCCAGGGAAGGTTACCCATTCAACAAGTGCGTATGCGTCAAAACTGCCTTTTGGCGACTTGACTTGTGGAAGGCAAACGAACATCAACCATGTCGATGTCCAAAAAAACAAGGACACCGTTTTGGCTGGCCTCTGAAGCTCTGAAGGGAAGCCAAGCAAGAACCACCCAGTTGGAGGGGAACCCCCAATTCTGTAGAAATTAACCCTTTGGGAGACCTTACTTTGACACAAAGCCACATGCCCTCGGCCTGCGCGCAGTGCTCCAAATCGTCGCTGCAGGCGCAGGGGTCCGCGTGGTAGTCGTGGTTGCCATAGACGCTGTACCAAGGCACGCCCCGTACCTCGAAAGATCACGATGGCCCACCCCCAATCCCTGGCGTCCGCTTGGGACAATTGATGGTCTCACCGGGAATGGCATAGAACTAAACCGAAACCGGTGGAACTCATCTGTTTTCACCCAAATCGAAATTGACAAGTGGCACCTATGCCCCCTCCCCATTTCTCGTTTTTGAGATGGCAGTGATCAGCCAACAAGAGGGCAACGATTCAACGTGCGAAACAACGGGCCACGGGCCCAAGCTTGGGGTCCCGACACTGCCCAAGAGCCGACTAGGGAAGGCTGAAGCTCCACAAAGCGACGGGTCAAGGCCCCAGAGTTGCGAAAAGAGAAAGAGGCGGCGTGACAAACAAAAGCTGACAGTCCCCAAATAGGTGGTATCTAGAAAAGGAGACCAAAGCTGAACCCAGCAAATGGATCCGCCGTTGAAGCTCGCCAGAATCATGCAACTTGTGTCCTGGAAAGCCAACACGAGGAAACCCAGCCTATGAAAGCTCCCAAGTGCATACGCGTCTCGGCTTCAAAGAGGGAACCAAAGTGAACGGCTTCTTGGGCGCTTCATGTCAGCTTCTTTGCAAATCCCAAGAATGGCTTGCCATGTTGACCAACCGCACCATTCAACTATCACGAGGGCACCTGGCTCGTTTTGGCGCTTTCCTATCACCCCAGGAACCTTGACTTTGACACCCCCAGCGGAACATTCCTTTTCTGAGTGTTTCCTAGAATAGGACACAAACCCCGACAAATGGCCATTGCGGTTCGGTTCCCCTCAAGTCCGAATCTTTCGGGACAACCCCAATGAGGTCTGGCTTCCTGACAAAGCTCAAATCCTCCGGCCCCTGCCTCGGGCGAATAGATCTGACGCCACTTCTCCTCCCACTGCGGGTCGCTCTTGTTGCGCACCCCGTCGGGGTAGAAAGAGTCCCCCACGTTGATGACGAAGCGCACGTCCTTTGGATGGCTTCAAAACCAGCACCAGGGGTTCAAATCTCCCAACCACCAAGCTGAACCACCCAAGGGTGACTTCAATGGCGGTTGCCTGCAATAAAGCGGAAGGCAAGGCTACTAAAGTACTGGAATGAAGGGCGAGTTTGGGCCCCTTACCTACCAGGACATGGTCTCACTGCGGGTTTATCTTGGGACTCCTCGTCTTTCGTCTGAATACCCCGAAACATGTGCAGAAACCCTCTTTCAAGTGGTCACGGTGTTCCTGTCGAAAGGCAACAGGCACACGTGACTGAAGCTGCCTTTTTCGGGCGCACCAATTGACTCTGCCAGAATTGCGGTGGACTGCTGCATCATAGAGTGTAAAGAGCCCCGTTCATTCCTATCCGAGCTCCGGAACATGCCCTCAGAGTTCCATCCCGACTTGCGGCGCACACAAGTTGAATTGCCAGGGTTTTAGGGGTCGCAAACGATCACTTAAACCCAGAGGTGCTCCCTTTTAGGTTGGTTCACATCATCTCCGGGTGTGAGCCCCCCTGCATACTTCAGGGGGGAAGAGCATCATCCATATCGTCTTGGCGGCCGCAAATCATGGACCCCGGTTTTGCTTTAGATTTTTCCCTTGACCTGCTCAAGGAGATCAAGGAAAGGACCGTGCATCTGCACAATGTCATGTGTTTGGGAACCTGCCAGGGTTTGCTGTTCCTGCGCTGCTTCGAGAACATAAATATCCGGGTGGCCAATTTGCCCAACCAAAAATGGCAAGTGTGCATCGGCCTTCAAGTCATAAAGGCACGCCCTTCAAAACCTTTGTGGGTCTCTACTCATTTCAATTAAAGCGGGAAGAGACCCGTGAAACAGGGTTCCTGGGAATGTCTCCTGTTTAAGCGTCAGCCAAAAAGACAAACTTGATTAAGATTGGCCATCCATGAAATATGGGGTTCAACAACCCAAGGAACATGAAAGGACCCTAGGCAAGTCTATGGGACCCTACCCCATGATGCGAGCAGCAATCATGGGTTTGTCTCAAAAACTTGGGACCCTCAAATTTCCCCCCTCCCCCCCCAAAAAAAAGAAAAGAAGCACCTCCAACATAGTTGAACCCCTGCCAATCCGGAGGCAAGAACACAAATCCAGACCCTTGGTTGGTTTTTCAGGGGCTCCCCCCTCCACAAAAGGTTGCAACACATATGTTCTTTGCTAGCCGACTTTGGAGCCTGGGGCACTCTGTCAAGGAGCCCCCAGGTTCTGCAGCTCCCGGTGCATGGCATCCGCCACCAGCTGCTGGCAGTGCTTGCTGCCCAAGTTGCCTCGGCACGCCACGGCCGCCACGAAGCAAGACGAAGGCGCTCAGTCCACCGTGCTTGGGGGGAGACACTGAAATGAATCAAATGAAAATGACCAGGAAAAGCCATCAGAACCACTGGTTGCGTGCGGAATGAGGAGAAACTCAACAGGTGCATCCAACAAAACCAAGGGAATACCTTTCCCTTGGCCTGGCGCAGGCTATGCCCTTTACTGGCCTGAGAATCTCGAACCTTCCCAACGTACTTTTGGAGGTGCAGAAATCCAGATGCCCTGACTCCTGAAATTGATTTTGAAGGGGTCGCATGCTTAGGGTGGCCCCAGAATCAACGCAGCTTGTGCATTCCGAAAAACTCGGTTTGGAGGAGCCCGGCCTCTGGGCATCCGCCAACGGATGGGCAACTGCCAGGCCAGCAAACCCACTCACCAAACAATCTCCAGACAAATACGCTGAAATCAAGACCTGCTGAACCCTCCCTGTTCCCGGATTTATCACAAAACATCCCGGGACGAAAAATGAATCCCACTAAATCGCACCCAACAAGGACCCTGATTAAAATCTGGGGGTTTGTAATAGAGGGAGTCCAATCCATTGTGGCCAAGTGCTCCAAAAATGGGCTTGTCTCTTGGGTGTCCCCTTTTTTGGAGTTTTGGAAGCTCAACTTGGCGTCAGTTGGTTCGTAATCAAAACCCAGCACTAAAATGGCGCACCCAGGACCATGCAAAGAATTGACAAGGCGATTGTCCCTTACTATCCTTCATCTTCCCGGGTTTTGAGCACGTGGCTCAGTTGGGTTTATCTCTCTCTCTCTCTCTCCCTCTGGCCGTTCCGGGCGGCCGTGGGACTCGCTGTCCCAGCCCCAGTCCCCGATCGCCAGGAAGGAGCCCAGGCGCTTGGGGCCGTTGATGGTAGCCTTGAAGCAGACAAGCCGCGGTCCTTGCAACCTCTACTCCAACTAGCTAGGTGTGCAAACGTCAAATAAATCGTCCAAACTAGCTGGACTCTTTGCTGTACGGTTCAAACAAATTCTCACTCGGCCCACGGTCAGAATGTACCGTTGCTCTACTGGGCACTAGAAAAAGAGGATGCAATTTGTTTTTTGTGCTTAAAATCTCTGGAGTCCCCCGTGGCCAAGCCCCAATGGACCACAGACGAAACAGGAGTTGACCAAAGCTCACAAGCCATCTGCAAGTGGGAAGGCGAATGCATTGACCCAGCCTCGATGTTCTCTGTCACACGGCAGCCTTTCAGCACCAGCGATAGGGTGAGGCATGCGAGGCCAAAGGCCCACCGCATGGCGAGTGCCGGAAAGGCGCCGGGCGCAGCTTCTGGGCGTTTTTCGGGAAGCGAATGGGGGGTCAGGGTCAACCTGAACATGAACGACCTGCGAAAAAAAGGTGAGTTCGTTGATCCATTGCTGTCCATTTGCCAGTGTGATTGTCGGCCAGCTTCAGCCAAAGTGCGAATGCCTGCCACTTGCAGCGCTTCCGGCATTTCCAGCATTCGTTTGAAAACAACCAAGAGGACATGGGACAACTAGTGAGTCCCCTGCTTGTTTTCGAAAACTTAGTGAGTTCTCCCATGTCTATCCGAAACGGACCACACACAAGGCTCGTTGCGTCGCCTATGCTCTCTTGGGTAGCAGCAAGCTCCACGCAATGTGCCCAGACTGAAGTGGACTACTGTTGAGAGCTCAACCCTTGTTGGTCGCAAATGAAGTGTGACACTGGCACACTGGCTGACTGAAATCATGTGTTGAGATTCTGAAACGATTCGACTTGCTTGCCTGTCTGACTGCTGATCGCCAAGCACCGGCCGCGCCCTTTTCAGCTTTCTGCGGACGTTCTTCCACGTACAGCGCTTAGTCCTCAGGCTCGGTGCAATCCTCTAGCGGCTTCTGGTAGGGTCCGAACATTTGGCATGCAGGACTGGGGAACCCAGCATGAACCCTCTTCCCCAGAATCCTGGAAGTGGACACCGGGCCTTTGTAAACTGGAAGACTGCAGTGCCGTTTCAAACCGTCCGGTGCATCTCCATGAGTGCTGGAAAGAGGGAAACTCCTTTTGGAAATGCAAAGACTTGAGCAAACACACATGTCAGATTGATAGCAGGTGAGAGAGGGAGCAGCTGCAGGGTTGCCAGAAATTGTCAAATCACAGCTTATGCTAATGAACTCCCTTACGGTTGCATTTCAGCATTGCGTCTTTGCCGTTTGTTGCTTTTTTACGGACCATGTTGGCGGGGCAGCTGAGGCCACTTGCTCCCGCTTGATGACAGCAGATGCAAGCAAAACGGCCGTGCCTTGGATCAGTAATACCAGTCTAAGCTTACGCATTGCATTGGCTGCATGGATACTGCGCCACTGACATGCAGCAAGCCGCCCATGTACGAAGTAGCCGAATGTCAGCCAACAAAAGGAGTGCACTTCTTGGTCCCTCCGGCCTAGTCTGCCAATCGGATGATCCCGGAACTAACCAGTCCAGTGCAAGTACCAGCGAATCACGGCTGGCAAAAACGTTGGGCTTGCCTTGGGTGTGATTTCGCTGCAGGGCTGCTCAAGCAGCACCAGTAAGACCGAACAAGGCGGCAAACTAATTGAATGTAGCCCTCTGATGACTCGTACAGCGTGTTGTGTTTCCCTGCTAGTCACTGGCAAATGCAGCATGTATCCTCTCTCTACGCCAAAGCTTGAAGCTGAACCATTTACTTGGCAACAAGAAACCCCTCGCAGTTACCTGAGTCTCTGGTATTTAGGGAATCAACCGCAGGCCAAGAAACGCCCTTCATCCCTGCGCAATCCAGTTCGCAATTCGCACCCGAGGCCCGGACACAGTCGCAAGCCGCGCCCTCCACCTGCAGGGAGAAGAGCCATTCTATTCGAGCGCCATCTAAACAAATCAAATGTTTCGAGACACTTGGGAAAGTAGATGCATTTGAGGCTCGCTGGGCCAGGTTGGCTATGCTCTAAGTGGGCTGGCCGAATAGGGAAATACGGAAATCCCAGGAGGGGGGGGGGCTGTCCCTTGTTTCATGGGTCCCCTTTTGGCCAACCCGGAAAAAGGGGTAAAATCAGAAGACACCCAAACTCCGCCGCTTAAAAAGTTAATAGGGGCATTGTCCAAAACGTTACCAAAGGTTAAGTCACAGGCTCAACCACAGGTCAGGTTCCAAGCTGAAATTTACTGATTGTCTCCAAGAAAGCTGCACCATCTCAACAAACAGGCACAAACTCACTATCAGCAGGCTCTTCACACTGTCACGGGAGGGGCAAGGCATGGCAAGAAGCAGCCCACGTTCTCGCCTGTTTCAGCATTCCTTGGTTGGAATAATTTACCGATCTGGGAGTGCTCTGCAAGCGCTGTGCGCGTGAGCAAGCATGGTTTCTGGGACAAATCGAGAATGGCACCTCTGTGATCGCCTTAGTTTTTGAAAGGTTTCAGCGAAGTCGCTTGCCCTTAGCCATGGCCTTGCCCCTTTGTTTGTGTTTTCGGCCAACCTGTTGGCCCCCGCGGGGCTTGTGACCTGATCTTACGGCAAAACATCGCTGTGCTGACGCAAAAGGAAAAACCCGGCCAAAGCATTCAACATCCGTCTTTCAACCCCCCAAGCACGGGCGGTAAAGAGGCCTGATCGTTCTTCTTCTGCAGAAGACTGGCCCTCAAGTTCCTGGTCAAGGACCAACACAAAAACTGGAAGCATCCTCCCATTGGCACACATGTGCGCACGAACTGTATACTTTGAAACACGAGTTTTCTTTTGGAAAGGGAAGGGTCCTGTGCACTTCCCTGTTTGTGGTGGGGTGTGAAAGCAGAACCAAACCATGACAGGATCTACAAAGCCGGCCCCAAACGGGTGTTATCTGTTGAGGTACCCACCTGCCTCCACTCATGCATGAGGCTGAAGGTCAATCGGAGCCCAAAAACAGTCCCCCATCCCCAACGGAGAGTGCTCAGTTTGCATGGGTGTTGGGTGTCCACATAGAATATCGCAATGAACTCACCCAAGCACCCAAAAGGCTACCAACAAACGGGCTCTGAAACAGGTCACGTCAAACCGAGAGACTTCCACAAGGCTGCGAGAGATTTCGGGGGCTATGGAGATGGGCTCCAGTGCTCAAGGACAGCTTGGGTTGATTTGGGACCTGATCGGAAGGGCCAACAACCCATGTATTCGAACTTGGATCCACAAGTCACCCAGAAAGTGCTGGGCGTTTGTAGGCAAGTCAAAGCAACCGCACAGCTGCTCTTGCGCAAACCTAGAACTAGAGGCCTGCCGCAACTCGCCTTCCTGTGGCCTTCGCTTGCCCCAAGCAGGGCATGTGCACGTACGATCACTGAAGTTGGTCATCCATGATTGGGGTTGATTGGGAGTTGCTTCAATTGCGTTCTACCGTTTCTCAAGTTCAGTCACTACCTCTAAGACTTTTTCTAACAGCCCTCCAATATCCAAAACAACAGCCTTCATCAAGGAACGGGGCCCGCGACCGGCTCCGCAAAGCCTCAACCCGCCATAGAGTATGGTAGCGGATAAACAGGGCGGAACTCGTGGCTTCCGACTTCTCAAGGAATCAAATAGCACCTAAAACGGGGCCCGAAAAGGTGAAGTGCCCTGAGATAACTTGGGTTACAGCCTGCTTTGCTTAAGGGGTTCATCAAATTTAAAATCTTGCTTGGGGACCCTTTGGCAATTTGGACATCATATTGGGTTTGGTGTCATGTCTACCCATTTTTGAGGAGGCGCCCCGTGCAAGCCGTGCCCGGACCCGCTTGGCCCTCGGGGCCCTCGGGGCCCTCGGGGCCCTCGGGGCCCTCGGGACCCTCGGGGCCTGCGCGGCTCCTGCCAAAGAGCGGCTCCGTCTTTTCAAAAAAGCGGTCAAAAAAGCCGTGACATGCTTCCGGGTCTAAAGGATTGTGTAGGCCAAACCTCATTAAATTCATTGTCATGTTGGGCTGTAGGTTTTCTACTGGGTCATATCTGAGCGCGGCTTTCCCTTTCCCTTTGTTCTGATAAAGCTTATTTCAAAAGCACAAACACATATTCGATGAACTTGTGTGATGCAGCACGATTTGATTGATGTAACTGAATGCTTGATATGTTGAACACATGGCGTGGATGGGGTTTTGTTAAACATCATTCACATCACTTGTCCCGTTGGTAACACAAAACAGCATACACCCACCCGAGCCAACCCGAAACCGCCTGAACACACTCTAACTCCACCCAAACCCAGCCTAACACGGCCTTAAATCAACCAAAATAAACACTCGACACGTTTTCGAGCCACCACTGACGTACGAGGAACCGCGCATGCAGCCCCAAATCACGCTCCCAGCGCATGTATCCGGCCAAATGACAAATAAGCAATGTCCTGAAGGGCAACACTACAAAGAGCTGTGCCTTGCCATGTCGCACTATTCACCCAAGCGGGGGCTCGCTCTGCGAGGCTCAGCAATTACTTTATGTATATACATGGCCGAAACTCCCAGAAGCAGGGAAACCACGCATACGTAGGTTGCCAGGTTGCCCCAAGCAGCCCTAAGCCCACAGGGTTCAATCAGCATATAATAATTTCACTTGAAGCAGAGTACCTTCAACAATGCAAGTCGTATTCAAATGGAAAAGGGCAGCTGCACAGAAAAATATGTAGAAATGAACATGCCTCAAGAACTGATTCGGAGCATTGACTGCATCAGTGAGACCATTGGAAAGCCCCTTCCCCATGGCTAGTTGATCGATTCTTCATAAGGAACTCTATGCAGGTCGGCTACAATTAAGTGACCCCCTTTTTTGATGGTAATGAAGAAGGCAAGCTGAAGGGAAACGGAAATGCCATGCAATCTTTTATCCGCCAATTCTATATACACACAAACACACAAACGTGGGGGGGCTGAGAAAATGGTGACTCTTTTTGGGGACCTTTAGTATCAGTTGTAGCCGCGATTGGGACCCAGACGGATCTTGCCATGTTAAAACAAACCGCTATGTGGGTGTCTCTTGAAACGGGCAACTTGTCCTTGAAATTGCCCAGCCTCGGCAATGGTTGAACCCAGTCGGTCCTGGTTGAATGGCTCAAACCATCCCACCGACCACAAACCCGTCTCCCGACCCTTGCCTCTGGGCTCATGGCTTCGGCCAAGGCCTGCCCGGCCCCAAGCCACCAGCCAGCCAGCGGCGTTTCTTTCTGAGACATTTCAACAGGCGAGAAAAACACATGATTCATGGAGTGAGTGCTGATTTGGATTTTTTGGGGGGCAGGAGTTTCTTAGATGTGTGGATAGAAGTTCGGATTGCTAGAGGGCGGTCTTGCTAAGACCGCGTGCTTTATGGAGGCCTCCAGTAAGGGCAAAACTTCACCACTTTAATTCCATCCAAAACTCACCGAGATCCTTCAGCTCAGGGCAAAAAGTGGATCGATCCCAGCTGGCGATGCAGTGGCTTTTGATGCGAAACTGTGCGTGCAAGCGTGCACTTTTGCACCGCTGGGGTGGGGGGGGGGCACGGGGGGCCAAGGTGGGAACAAGGCAGGCGCGAGCAGCAATGGCTTCGTGTTATTGAAGTCGTTTTGTCCCGAACCCAAGAAACGCCGTAGATGTGTCTCAAAAGCCCGCCCATGCCTCTGGGGAGGGAGTTAGTCCTCTGTTACACACGGCGATCAGCGAAGGGAAGCCTTGGCTTCTGGGATTCTGGCTCTTTTCACCCGTAAAAGCCTTCGGTTGTAGCGGTGGTTGCGGTTTCCTCACGAGTCAATTTGACCCCGCAATAGCAAGACATGGACCCCTTGGCCCAACCAGCGCAACTGGTGGCGGCGAAGCCGAGGATATCACGTTTTGCCCAAACAACTGGACGTCGTTTTTATTTTTCAATCCCGCTCCGGCCTCCACCGCGGCGTCCTCTGTGGCGTTCTCCGCAACATGGGCGAAAGCCTGCGGAAGTCTCGGACGGTTGAACCAGGAGCTACGCGCCCCCCGCGCAAGGAAAACAATGCAATGTTGCCGATGCAAAGAAGTACTGGGCAAGTCCCAGTTGCAGTATCTTGGCACAGCAAGCGAGCGCCAATCCAATCGCAGAACAGCCGCATTCAGGTTGAGACTCTTCTTGCAATTCCAAATATGAAGGCTGAATGGCGAGCCAAAAGGCTGCCTGCTTCACAAGGGGATCCTCTAACTCAGCCACCAAACCTGCCGTTGATGGCCAAGATGTATCTGAAAAGCCCTGGGCTGCCGTGTCTGAGCCCCCCAATTCCTCTCGCCTGTGCAGATTGCATGTCCGTGACGTTGGCAGAGATCTGTGCCAGGACCTGCGGTCTTGACATCTTTCGGTCGCCTGAAGACTTGAGTAGGTTCTGGGGGGTTGCCTTTGCACTAATTAGCAAAGAGAGGGCATTTTGGGGGATATCATTTTGGTTCATCCAGAATTGCAGAGAGCGGTGGCTTGCATTAGTGGTCTCGTCGCCCCCAAAAATGAGCAACTCCGATGTTGGCAAAGGTCGCTTAACCGGCCCTGAAATGTAACCTATAGGTCTTGGCGGTGTTGTTTGCGAAGACCTTTTCAAAGCGTTATAGTCTGAGATGTTGCTTGCTGCTTTGATTGTGAGACTGCTTCAGTCTGAGAAGCTGCGTATTTGAAGACGCCGGTGTTTGCGCAGCAACCAAGACGGACGCGTAGCAACATTTGGAATGTCCCATCTTTGATATTGGACCTCTTCAGTGTCTCTCCTAAATATCTTGGGAAAGCCCGAGAATACCCATTTGCGCAAGAGAGAACATCTCAAGATTCGCACAACCTGGACGGTGACCGCAAGCTCGCGGTCCGGCCTTGGACTCGGTGGACATCTGCGCGAGGGCCTGGGAACCCGAAGACGACGCGCAACGCAACACACGTGCAGCTAGGCCCAAAACAGCTTGCTGGTCTCCTTCAAACATCATTTCGTAGGGATGTAAGTCTAAAAAATTGGGACCACAAAAGTGATGCTGAAAAGGAAGGGGCTCAAAGAAGCCAAGAATCCCCCGGTAAGGAACCTTCATCACGGGGTAAATCGCTGGCTTTGCCACCAGCTGAGCTCGCTAGAATTTGTCCAGGGCGACTGTGTGCCTCGTTTTTGAAGGTACCCTTCTAGGTTGTTTTCAAATTGAAATACAAAACTTGTTGTGTTTTTGTGGCGCGGGGAACCGCTATTTTGAGTCTTGCCACACCCCTTGAATTTGGTGTGATCCATCGTTCGGACATGTGGCATCCTTTAAGATGCGGTCCTCCTTCCTGGCTTCCCCGTTAAAGCTAACGTTGCGTCAGGGCATCACAAAAATACACACACAAAATACACTCGAAAATACCCACAGCGCGGATACAAAAAGGAAGGTGCTTCGCAACGTAACGAGGAATCTGACAGCAGACGTCATGGGGGCCGTTTCCACCCGAAGCAAACCTCTCGGCGCCCGAGCTCCCGGGAGCGGCAAGCAAGTGCCCCAGGTGTCACCCTGGCAGGCCTCTGGCAGGGGAGCCCGGGCAATGCCGTCAGACCCAACACCTGTAAAGCCAAAACGGGTTTTTGAACAGCAAATACGCAAAAACCAAAGCCCGCCCCTTGATTACAAACCAAAAACCTTGAATAGCCAAACAACAACTTGGCTGAATAGGGAAAGAAGCGGGCCTTGACTGTGATCCTTTTTGCTTCGTAAGGAATGGGTAGAAAGTTCATGCGGCCATATTTCCCACTATATACAACCGATCAAGTCACAGGCCGCTGCGTTGCACAGTTCAAGAGATGCCCACTCGGAGATTCTGTTTGTCGGATTCTTCTGCAAGCGGGTCTTTCAAGACTCATTTGGTCAGTGGATTCTTCTGCAAACTCATCTGGCCGGCCTTGTCCTCCACGAAGCACCAGGGCCCGGCCATGTCGTTGTCAGGATTGCAGCAATAACTGCCACACCTCAGCTGACAGAAACTCAGATTCTGCTTGCAGGCAATGCCCAATAGTGCAACATAGTGGGAAAACGTTGTTTGGCAACCAAAGGATCGAAATCTGAAAAACAAAAAAAGCACGCGGATTCAACAAACCAGTTGTAGACTGGTAGCCAACGAGCAAATAAGATCGACATGGGGAGGATGCAGAGTGGACTGGCTGGGAGCCCTGGCTTCGAAGACAAAGGTTTGGAAGAGAACTAATAATTTCAAAATGGTTGTTGGAATATGACAAATCATATCAAAATCATGCCATGACAAATTGTCACACAACAGTTGTTGTTCTCTAGGAGAACATGGATGGGTCCCTCGATTTGTGGGAAATGTGGGTCCCCGAGCCATCCCCAAACCAACAGCTGTTTCTCAAGGAAGGGGTCCCTTAAGATGGTTGCCTTCCTGTTCGTTGCCGTTACACAACCAAAAGGGGTTCGTCATTTTGAGAAACTTCCACATAATCACAGCAGCACCTCCCGGTCTCTTTTGCCAAGGCACATCTGGCCGTTGTGGGACCACGACTGCAAGCACCCGCAGCTCTTTGTCGTCTGCCTCGGTCAAAGAAACAAAGCAGTACCGGCAAGCACTGGTGTCTCCTTTTGAGGTCACTTTGCTTGCAAATTGGGATTATTGTGGTTTCAGTTTTGTTCTAGTCGTTTTCCACGCCATCTATTTTCCACCAGGACAAGCCGCCCAGTAAGCGGCAAAACAGGGCAAAGGAACTGGGAACAGCTGGCCAAGCTGGATCATATCAAGAGCACCGGCCCGAGCTCATGGCAGTTTCTTCTGGTGGTGACGATATATGGGTGTGGGTTTTTTGAGGGTACCCATTTCACCTTGGTTTGAAGGCAATCCAAAGATAACCCATCATTTTGGGGGGTCATGCCCATATTATGATTCTTGGTCCAGGGGGCTTTAGTCCTTTGGTCAGTGACAAGCAAAGGGTGCCCTTTGACTGTGGTTGCAAAATAACTGTTAGACTGCTTGTTGAAAGGATGGCCTGGGCTCCTTGGGTAGCAAGACACGACAAACCCCTGCCGAGGTCAAACTCCTTGTGCTCATGAGTCATGATTATTGTCATGTCATGTCCCGCAGTGCCTTGGCAAAGACCAACATAAGACAATTGCACCAACAAGCCTGCTGATGCCTATTGTTTTGAAACCTCCTGACCAAACCACGAAAAACAGACCACCATTCTAAAAACAAATCATGACAGTTTACGCTCTCAGCCCTCACAGCCCTTCTCACCCTCGTAATGACCCCTGTTCCCCCTTGTCTCGACCCTCCAAAGTCGAAGTAATTCGTATTTTGGCCATGGCCCAAGCATCCCTCACGGTCAAAAGCTAAAGACTATTCCGTGCGAGCCGAAGTCTGCACGTTTCAACATGCACCTGGGTCAGAAGCTTCAACCAAAAGCTGCCACAAACAAAGGGCTGGCAGAACTTCATCTCCCCCTGGAAAGATGATATGCAAACAGCTTTGCCCGCGACCCTCTCCCTCAAAGCTAGATGTCCCTCATGCAAGGTCTTTCTGGCTTCCTTTGAACAACCAGATTCTGACGCGACACACACACACACACACCGACACACAAAACACAGAAAGACACACACACACACACAGACACACCGCCGACCGAGGAACCCTAAGCCCCGCCTGCCGGCGGACATGACACTGGCCAGGGTCTTGCTGGAGCCTTTGAGGCCGGGCCTCAATCATTGAGCGACCGCAGGTTGGCTGGCTGGGTCAAGGGCTTGCTGCTTCTGAGGCTTCGGGGGTTGCATGATTCTCTTTCTCGGCAAGGGCGGTGGGGGTGTTTTCGGTTCGGCGAGGGGTTGGGTGTCGTTGTTTATTTGCGTTGGGTTGCTCAGTTGTTCAGTGACCCTGGAAAAAAAGGAACCCTTTTTTGGGAAGACCATTTTAGTGGGGCAGCCACCAAAAAAAAAAGGAAAAAGGGAGCCACTGAACAACTGAGGTTGTGTGGCTTCTTGCAGTTGTTGTTTTTTTGTCTTTGGGATAGTTTGGGATACCTAGGGAGATCGAACAGGTTGCGCAGGCGGACAGGTGAGCTTGGAGCGGTGGGTCTTTGCAGCTTCCAAGGGAAGATGGTGCACACACAGAGTGGCCTCTTTCCATGGTTACCCCATTGCCCCTTTTGCGCGCGAGGTGCCACTTACGGCGCGCTTCACAAGACAAAACAGCATTTCCAAATGGCCAGGAAACTGATCAGGTCAGACTTTAAGGGGGGCCTTCTCTCGCAACGTGCATCGAACAAACCGCCAGCGGCTGCTTGCAACTGCTCGATTTGCTGGCACGGGCAGCACGTTCTGCACTGGCCCGCCGCAAGAGGGCTCCGAGGAATGAGAAAACCAGTGCAATTGTCAACATTTCTCGGGTTTCTGGTGCGGGCAAACCTCCGCTCTGGCCACATGGATACAATGTCAATCGCGGAATGACGTGGTTGTCCAATGCTTGCTACCAAGGTATAGATGAAAACGGCGATCTTGGAGTGTGAAGTTGCTTTAACTGTTACATGCTGTCACGGCCAAGGAACTGTGTGGTAGTTGACCATTATGAAACATGCGTGTGTCAAGAGAATAAAAGAGCACACACACCAACACAAATACAGCATGTGACAAGCAACCAGCACAATGCCAGGAAAAAAATACATGTCAGATCCGGTAGATTCGCCTTAAACTACTTGGGCCCGCCACACATAGAAGTAGCCGTAGCCTGGCACGTACTGGTAGTAGTGATACCCCAGCCTCGACAGCCGATAACCGCCCGGCAGCAGCAAGGCTTGGAGTTAACCAGTCGGCACCCACGCTCAAATTATGTGGTTGCATGTGGTTGCGCACTTCCATTCTTCGTCTGGGCGGGGCCATGATGTGACAATGGCCCATTTGAGGTGACCAAGTCAAAATCTGGATAGAAAGAACTTGGTGGGGGGACGGCAAAAAGCAGGCGCGGATATCCTCTTTGATTCTTGACCATGGGTGTTGGATACACTCCTTTCATTGCCTGGGTTTGATTCCACTCAAAAGCACCATTTGTAGAATCATAGAACAACTGCATAGATTGGATGCTCCAGGAGGTGAAAAGCCTTCTATTTGCTCGTGCCTCTCTGCCTCGTTCCAAAACCGCCCATCTCACTGCTGCCAAAGGTCTCCCCCTGGCCGCGCTGCTGGGCGACACCCGCAAGGCCGTTCAGGGCCGAGGTGCCGCTGCTGCTGCCTGCGGGGCTGTCTGAAAACAGGACAGGCGCCACGGGAGATGGTTGGCTCCGGTCAGGGGAAAATTGCGTTCCCCGCAAAGTGGGCGAAAGCTTTCTGTTAAAAGCGCCAACCTCCAAGGGAGAACCAAAACTGTTGGATGCTCTCAGCACCCTGAGTCAAACATGTGTCAAAACTAGGGACGAGGGTTTGAGCACCAAGCCAATCGGAAATTGCGAGTTGGAGAAGGCCCGGGCCATGCGCCAACTTTCTCCCTCCCTGTCGACTGCTTGATGTCCCTCGCTGAGGCAAGGACAATCCAAACTGACAAAGAAATCACCATAACTCGATCAAATTCTGAGCCCGGACGCCTTCCTCCACCCCTTCCCAGCCCAGCCGCGCCTTGGGGCACGGCACCAGCGCCCGCACCTGCAGAGCCCGCCAGAGCAGATGTGGCCTAGCGGAGGGTCGGTGGAAGATTGCATGCTCAACCAACCAAGCAAGCAAGCAAGCCAGCCAGCCAGCCAGCAAGCAAGCAAGCCAGCCAGCCAGCCAGGCAAGCAAGCAAGCAAGCAAGCAACAAACCAACAAACCAACCAACCAAGAACATGCAAGCAAACAAGCAAACAAGCAAACAAGCAAACAAGCAAACACCCAAACCAGCACAAACAACGAACTAGACGAAAGCGTAAACCAAAACAACCAGCAAAACATGAAACAAACAAATCCACACTCTGAACAGGCTTGCAAAACAACAACGAAATGGTTCATCTGAAGTTCTGAAAATAATGTCCTGTACACAACTTGTCTGACAGGCAAATAGAACAAGCAGTGTCGGAGCAAACACACACCACCCTAACACCAGCCCCATCACCACTCCCCAGGCCCAGCCCACTGACCACCAGCCACCAGGCCACCCCCGCCACCAGGCCACAGCGCCGGCCCCCGCCTGGTCGAAGGGCGACGGCCCCGGCATCGTGGCCCCCGGCTGCGGCATGTTGAGCTGCGGCAGCGGCGCCGGGGTGGGCGGCAACGTGGCCGGCGGGGGCGGGCCTCAAGTGACGGGCGCCTGGATGCGCTTTTTGAGATGGTACCTCGTTGATAAAAACAGAAGGAACACGGGTTACCCTTTGTCGTGTTAAGAAGTGAAATGAAAGGAACACCACCAATGCCCCTTTTGAATTTTGGGTAACAAGCACCTCAACTAACTCAGCCTCTGGTGATACATTCGGCAGTCACCCGGCCAACCTTCAAGCCGGGAATCCTCTTCACCCAACAGGTCCGAGCTTCACTGATTGCTGCCAACATGACCTCCCCAACAAGAGACCAACACAATGAATCTACAGGCTGCTGCAAAGGAAACATGCTGCTGAATCAACCCAATTCTTGCTGCAATGCTATTGGAGGCGTGAATGCATCTCCATGCCCCAACTCAAGCCCAATTCCACCACAACTCCAACAAAAACCAGGAAAACAACACACCGCCAAAACCAATGAGCATTGAACAAGTTCAGACAATATCCCTCAAAACCAATGAAAATGGCGGAATCGAGGCCGCCGCCCAGCGTCGGCAAATCCTGTCGCAGACTTCCCTTGGTCAAAAAACATGAGGGGCACCGGTGCGCAAACATGAGTCCCCACCAAGTTGCGAACAAATGGTTCACTGTGTGCCACGAGTTTCCCAGCAGCTTTTTTACCTTCCGGTCAAGCCAAGAAGCGAAAAAGGCAAAGCCAGTCGAGAGGTGACGAGAATTACCAGAGTCGAAAACTCGAGGAGGAATCATTGGCTGAGCGACAGGAGGGTTCTGGCCATATTATTGTCATTCCCAGAAAGGAAGCTCTAGCAGAGGGCCTTCATCACGGGTGACCCTCTACAAAGGGAACCATGAACCTGAGCCATGCAATGGAGGCGCTCCATAGAGCCCCCATTATTGGAGCCAATATGGTGTCACCCAGGATCGATCAGTCTGCGGTGAGTTTCATTCCCATTCCAAGTCAAAGGCCGTTTTGGCCGTGGTACACGTGAGCCTGCATTTTGTAAAAAGATCAAGCTTCCCCTCAGCAGGGTTGGAGTTAGGCCCTTTGAATCAAATTGCTCTAGTGGTTGCGTCCGTGTTAGGCATTGCCACCACCCGGAGCCACCCTTGGAACCCCATTGTCATGCCGCATCTAATCGGGGGCTGCAGAAAATGGCCGGCAGTTTGTGGATCTCTCAAATGACTCAAATGTATCCTAACTCCACCCAACAGGAGTCATTCGACTTCCCACTTCCCAAAGATTGAGTCATCTCTCTTGGGAAGAAGCGGAACGATTCAACTGGTGCCAAGCTTGCTGGCCAGGCCATTCGCATTGCCCAGGGCTCATAACCTTGCTTGAGTACACTTCCAGGCTCTTGGCGGTTGCCAGTAGCGTAAGGCCGCATATCCAGCGGCTGGCCTGCTTTACACTTCAGGCACTTGTCGCTAAAGCGCCCACGTCATACTGCAGGGTAATCGCTTCAGCGACAGCTCCTGAGCCTTCCGAGTCACCAATCTGTGGCGAGGAGGATTCCACCATGTGTGGCTCGCTCGCTGCGGCAGAATGTCAGACCCCCATGCGACTGGATTAAACCGAATAATGTTCAAAAAACAGCATCGTCAAGTGCAAAAGACCCGCTGTTGTGATCAAGGACATTCAAGTAGAAACTGCTCCAGTTTACCCACCTTACGTTGGCCCACATCTGGATATATGTTCAGATTCTGTGGCATATACACTACCTCAAAATGTTTGGAGGAGACCCAGTTACCTGCCCACCCCACTCCCCTTGGTCCACACTACCCCCACCTCGGGTGTCAGCTCTGGGATCTTCGGCAGCGCCGGCAGCGCCAGCGGGGGCTCCGGGGGTGGCAGTGGCGGCTGGGGAGGCGGGGGTGGCGGAGGCGGCCTCGGCGATGCGCCAAAACCGCTATTGCATGGCATTGCCTTCCTGGCTAAGACTTTGTTAGTGGGTTTCTGACTTAGTCACATTTGCCCAACAGAAAAGGTGAGGCCACCCTGGGCATCCCGGCGGTGGCGGGCCGTTGGGTGGCGCGGCCACCTGCTGCATCTGCGGCATCTGGGGCATTCCCATCCTCGGAGGCAGAACTCACGTGGTGAGTGCTCCAAACCAGAGGAATTCATGGCCCCACGTGCTTAGTGTATTGCCAACAAGGGAGTATGGCTCTCGGTTGGGGGGGGTGGTACGCCCTGAAATCCAAGCCATCCTGAGAATCTCGGCGCCCCGACGGCATTCCCGGCACGTTCATGCCATTCATGCCATTCATGCCATTCATGCCCGCCATGAAGGGCATGGAATTGGTGTTTTGGCAGTTGCAGTGGCACCTCGGCCGATTTGGGCAGCCAAGCAAGTGGCCCACAGATCCAAAGATCGAGCAAACCTGGCAGGTAGAGCAAGTCCGGCAGGTACAAGCAACGTGCGTGCGAGCAGGCAGGCAGGCAGGCATGCAAGAAACAACGGGAAAAAGTAAGCACAAACGCAAACACAAGCGCAACCACAACAAACGCAACCACAACAAACCAGCCACCAAACCTGACCAAAGCAAAACACAACAAACAACCCACACCCGCAAAGTCACACACAAAGCCACACACACGCCCACCCACACCCACACACAGCGGCAAGCACAAAGCCATACACATGCACACAGGGCAAAGAACTGGACACACGCGTTGAAGGTCGGGCCCAATCTTTGGACCCGAGTCCTGGACTCGCATCAACTGGTCAAATCTCGTCAGCCTCAGCTCTCCAGCTCGGCACCGGGAACAAGCCGGAAGGCTACAGACCCTGCCACCTATGAACCGGGATTCTGACGGGTCACTGGAAGACAACTTTGCTTGAGTTGGTGGGACGGGAAGGTCGAACAAAATGGACAACCTCGGATGGACCGCCAACAACAACAAAAGCTGGGGTCGATTCTGAATGGGAGAAACATTCAAGATGAATGGCTTCCCTCGAGTTTCCGTTTAACAATTCCGAAAAGCGGACCCTGGCCAACATCAGGGGTTGAGTGAGAAGCGCGGAGGCTCCCTCGGCCACTTGCAGCAGAGGCACGAAGAGCCGCCCGCGGGGCACATCACGGTGCCGCGCCTGCGGCAAGTGAGAGGCCGGAAAAGAGAGCCCTTCTCAAAGAAAGGAAAAAAAAGAGAGGCATTTCTGGAGGTCTGGGATTTGCGGGGTGCAACGAAAAGGGGAAGGCCTGGGAAGATTATGCGGAATGTGAGTCGGAAGCGCCTGAGAAGACCCGCCTCCTTTCAAAGCTCTTGGTGAGTGGGAGTGTGTGTCTTTGTGTGTTTGTGAGTGTGTGTTTTTCTCCCTCTCTCTCTCTGTCTCTCTTTCTTGCTCTTTCTCTTTCTCTCTCTCCCTCTCTCTCTTCCTACATAAGATCTGCTCCTTATGCGTCTCTTTTTCCTCGCTATCCCGTTCCATCGTTACCTTTGGCTGTGATGTTCATCCCAGGCTCGAAGCCAAGGCTCCTTGGTGATCTGATGATCTATATATATATACATATATATATATATATATTGCACGTACTCTTCACCCACGCCCGCCGGAAGTGTCCAAAAAGAGTGCCCAGAAAGACGTCCTGACGTCCTGATCTGACTTCGTTCTGGGAACCTATTTGCACCTGCGGTCCCCTTGGCCTCTTGAGCTTGGTGGCATCCGCGCCCACAAAGAGCACCTAGCGAGGCTCGCGGGCAAGGCTCGGCTCGAGGAACTCGCTTCTTAACATAGTGGCCGCCAAAAATTGCTAGTTTGCTTTTGGTTTCTGTTTAACAACGACCCAAAAGGGGTCCACCATTCTGAGAAACCCCCATCAGGAGATCTTTAGCATGGTTGCTCAAACATGTTCTTTCAGGGATTCGTGTGATCCTGTGAATCTGAATCGGCCAGGCCGTTTGAGCATGGCACGGTTGATCGAAGATGTGTTCGATGGGCAATCATTGATGACACCTGTGATCTTTTCCCTTAGCAACCTGCTCAGTGGGCTAGCGGTCATCATCCCTAATCCTGGTCAGCAAGTAGTTGATGTGTCTTGCTACCTTTGCAGCCGAAAGAGGTTCGATCGCAACAGCAGCTTATGTGAGGTCCCCCTTCGGCAGAATCGGGTGCTCTTGCCCTGAACAAGGCACATGTCCTCCCCCCATGAAATGAATCAAGGCAGTCAATCAGCAAATCCTTGTGGACTGCCGCAACTGGATTCTGGACCTTGATGGATGCCCTTTGACCGCAGCCAGTCCGTCCCCTTGTTGAGAAGAGGATTGGGCCAACCCCCTGCTAAAACACGTTTAGACGCCTACTGTTTAAACAGCAATCTCTGGGATCCCCTTTAAGGGGGCTAGGGTCAGGTTGTTTAAAGTTGCCCAACCCTGTTCAGAACCACAAGAACCGGTTGCATGCTCCCATGCCCTGAGCCGGCGACCGCAAGGCAGGCGCCCAAATACTTCATTGCTGCCATCCTGACCGGAAATCGGAATGGACCCAGGAGGGTATCCATCAAGAGCTACGGTCGGAAGACTCCGATTGAAAGAAAACTGAGCTGCTCTAGATTTTAGATAGCTTCTTCAAGGCATCCCAAGTACATCCCTATGACTATGCGCACAAGTTGTTGAAAGATGAACTAAGTGTTTCGTCAAAAATGAGGTACCCCACAAAAGGCATACATCAATGCAACCCACCCCAGTTCAGCCAGTGCAACTGGCATGTACGGGCGCTTCCGACATGTTGAAACACCTGTGCTTAAACAACCTCCTTTGCTTCTCCGCTAAAGCGGACCTTTGGGCTGGTTGTCACAATTCGTCGAACCCTCCCCCTGGTCTCCCAAATACTGCAAGGCCTTTTAAGAAGGCATTGTTTCGGTCTTGGAGAAACAGGTTCCTCGCCTGCTTCCACTTCCGGCAGCGATGGCCAGAGGGAGGCGGGCGCGAGATCTGCGCGTCCCACCGCTGAAATCCAAGAAACGGGCGGCGAGCCGCTTAGTCGGCGTGCCAGGCAACCGGCCAAGCAACGCAGACAGAATCCCCTCCCCCCCGGAGGGGAAAAATACTAAAACCAAACACCAAAGCGGTAAGACCAAATCCAGGCAGCAAGATGAATCAAAGCAAAGGTGAGCATAAATAAACAATGGATAACAACCAGAAAAGGCTCTGGTGTGGAAGAAGCACCCTTGTTAACACACCCAGCTCGTCATAGTTTGCCCACCAGAATGGAACCTATCTCCAATCCCGAACCCCAACCACCCCCCAACCACCGCCCCAACCCCCAACCGTTGCCAACCCACCCCAACCACCCCCCAACCACCCAGCCACCCCCAACCGTTGCCAACCCCCCAAGCTGCAAGCCCAAGCGGCATACTAAATTTCATACCCGCCGTCCTCTTTTGCAGGTGCTCTTGGATGCGTCCCAACACGCGACGCTCAAACGAACGTCGAATCTTGCCGTCTGAGTGAGTCTGCCATGTGTGGTGGATCCAAAAGGTAATATGAGTTGAAATGAGGAACACCGGGAACAAAGTGGTTGGTAGGCATCAATCCAGCAAAGATAGACGCTCCACCAGAAACAGCTGCATCTCTGGCGCTGCTCCGTCTCGCGCCACGTTTTTGGTTGCTTCCCATGCCCGCGTGGTCGTCTCAGTCACCTCGGACCATTGGGCTGAACAAGGCCTCTCCAATTGCCTCCGCCAGTTTGACAACAGCTGCAACAGCTGTGGTCAAAGCACTTTCTCTTTGACGGACACCCTGTCTTACACGGACTGGGCGGCGGCTTGGGCCTGAGCCACACGTCATAACCTGGTTAGTTAAAAGTTAGTGTGGGACAGTCCCAATGATAAAATCGGTGCGGCCACCCTACAATGACAAAAGTGTCCTTGCTTTCCCATACGACGACCAACCTCAATTGTTGAGACCTGACGCTGTCGCATGTTAGAATAGCTGCTGAATGGGAATCCCTCTGCCACGACCCATGGAGAAAGTATCCCCCCCTTTATAGTATGTAATAACGTGCACATATATATATATATATATATGTATTTCGTACACATCATATACATACATACTCGTGAGCAGGGACCTACGGGATGGCTAACAACGCCACGCATTGAGGCGGGCCTCCCCTTTTCACCGGACTTCTCCCACCGCCAGGCGGCAGTCGCAACGCTGGCCTTGGAGCAAAGCCTGGAGGAAGGGCTGGCGGTCGAGTGACTGCGTTATTTTGAAGAACAGGCTTATACATCTGACACTTGTGGCTTCAAGCTTGCAAACCAGTGTTCGGTCAACTTGAAAAGAAACCGCCATAAAACCAACCCCTGGGATGCGGTTCACAAGGTCAATGTGGCTCAGTGACCCTGTGTTGACAAGAATCGTGGGATGGCACTAGATTTGTATCATGATTGACAGCCTCCCAACTGACAGTCACAACACTCCAATCTGTGAACACTCTCCTACTGTTGACAACTGCAGGTAACTTACTGTACGTGTTTTTAGTACTCCCTGGAAACAGGACATGAACTCCCAACCCACAGCCGCGAACAAACCTTGGAAGCATGTCGCTTTGCAACTCGCCTCGCCGTGAGAAGCGCCACGCAGCTTCCGCGCCTGCCGAAGGAGAGAACATGGACAAGCTTTCGGCTCGTTCTTACTTCTGTGATACATATGACATGTAAGCGGCATCATGGCAACAAAGGAAGCATCCTTTTGGTGTGTATGCTTTTGAGGGTAGCCTTCTCGAGGTTGGGTTTTTCAGGGAAACCCAGAGGAAAATCGAAGCCATGTGTGGCGTCTATCCCAAATTTGACGAGCCATGCCCATTTGCTGGTTCATGTTGAGGATCGTGGAACCGAGCCACACACCAAAGCCAGCACGAATCGTATTGTCCCAGCTGTTGGGGAAGAAAGGGTGGATACGAATTTCAATAGGGAATCGCAAAAGTGGTTTGACATAACATAAGTCTCTATGCCAATGTCGATAGGGCTCCCAAGTAAAATAAATCATTTCTGAGAAAGCCTATACGATATTCAACCAACGTCAGGTAGGTGTTCACTATGGTAAGAGGACAATCACCGACAATCACCCCGATCACCAACCGCTGGCCATGGGTACAACTTACGTTAAGTTGGTGCCCAAGGCCCCCCAAAAAAATATCAAAACAAAAAACAGTGGTGTCCTTTTGCCTTCCCTATAAAACCAATCAAACATGGTGTTTTACTTACCAGGTTATAACCTAAGTTGGTTGAAGATACTCACCTAACACACACGTTTGTTCGGCGATGTCGACCCTTACTAAAAGAAGGGATCGGTATTTACCCTGACAACCGATCGGTTCTCCAACAAGACCAACTAAACAATAGGTATTGGGAGCTTGCGGGGGCTAGCCCCTTTTCCCCTTCACTTTGCCCCGTTCTGGGAGGTTTGCGCGCGCTCCAACAGCAATGCCGCTAGCCTCTCGGAGGGCCAGGGCAGAGACTCCTGTGCCGTGGCGCGGACCCTCGCGTATGGCTGTGGCTTCCAAACAGGTTGACCCTTTTAAAAGGTGAAACCTGGAGATGAAGCTGTGGCTGAATTTAAAAGGTGAAACCCAGCTTGAAACCAAGCATAACATGAGCAAGGCGGACTACCCACCCCATTCTGCCCTCCCACGCTGTGTTGCAGGTTCGCCAAGCTCAAGTTCTGTGGTGGAGCCTTAAGTCAATAGTCTGAGGGATTGCCGGCTTGCCTCGTGATTCCCAGTTCTGACTCCAAGATGCGTTTGCTTTGCTTTGTAGCCCGGCCAAACAACACGGAGCAAACTGAGGGAGCAGTAAATATCATGATCTGAGTCTCACGGAGAAGTGTCTTTGTTGATCCCTGACACCAGAACCCTGCTGGAGGAGTACAATATCACACAACACCACACTAATTCTGAGCCCTGCGATCTTCGGGGATTGTCTGAGACCTTCCCAAAAAAAGCTTCAAAGGAACCTGAGCATACCCTATTTTTGCAAGCCCCGATAGTAGTGTAGGCTCCAGAATGAGTGATGTGGTCTGAGGGTACTGTCCTTCCAAGATTGCAAAGGGCGTCTTTTTCTGAAGAGAAACAGAAGTTGGCACCACTTGCGATCGGGGCCACCCCTGCCACCCCTGCCACTCCTTGCGCCGCCGGCGCCGGCGCGGGTGCCGCCCCCGGCGTGGCCCCTTGTGCTGGAGCAGGCGCGGGCGCGGGCGCCGGCGCCGGGGCCGGGCTCGGCTGGCCGGCCCCAGGGAAGGGCCCTGCCCAGGCGAGCCGAGACTTGACGCTACCGTCCGGTCGGGTCGCCGGGTCGCGATTTTGATGCTGGCTGTTGTCATGGCAGAAACCCTAAGGAACCCAACCGTTTGTAGGAATTAGATGCCTTTGTTGGCAGCCGCATGTTCTTAGTTGATACTGTTGTCGATCCTGCAGACACGCTGGGCGATTGGTTGCAGTTGCACACGCTGCTTGTGAGCTCCGCATGCATTGGTCAAAGCAAGGCCTCCAAGCTCTCTCGGGCAATGTAACTGCTTGGGTTCGGGGGAACTGACAAATCGATCTTTGAAAACTGTCACCCGCAGAAAACAAGGTAACCCCAACCTGAAAAAAGTAAGCGATGCAATGAAGGGCCCCTCTCCCCCTCGAACAAACTAGCGCAGCAATGATTACATGGGACCAGAAAGTACAAGCCAATTCTCATGCTGTGCCACATCATCGTTCCCATGGCCATAGCAAACTTTTCTAGCTCACTCAGTGGTCTGGTGCGGTCCTTTGGCTGACCTGAAATTGGACCAGGAAATGGCAAGTCCTGCAACTCACGATGGTCTCGTGGCTGTTGCTCTTGCAACGGGCAGGTTCTTCTCAAAATTGGGACCCCCTTTGTTCGGCGAATAAAATATGAAACAGCTTGAAACCACAATAACGCAGAGGAATCCAATGTTCGGGGACTCAATCGTTTCAAAGCCGCCCTGCAAACAGTCTCCGTCCCCACGCCTAACGGCTGCGGCAGCCCGTAGACTTGCTGCCAGGCGATCTTCGCCACGTTCTCGGCGCCCTTCTGGACACCTTGCAGAGATGCGCGGCCCCGGGTTTGCTCATTCGTCCAAAATGGGTGCCTCGGCCTCCATGTCTTCCTAATAGCCGGGGGAAGCATTACGGTAGATGACCGAAACTTAGATAAAGTTAAAGTGAAAGTACCAACTTTGAAAGTGAAAGCAAACGGAAACTGACGATGGCCCGGGCCCAGACTTCTTTGGCTTGCGCTGCGAACGGACCCCAGATCCTGCATGCGCACACACACACACACCCGAATGGTCTGAATCCACCCGCCTTGGATACTGCTCAGAACAACTGGGGGAAGCAACAGCGACCAAAACAAGAAACACCCCCTTCCCCCCGTGCCACGCGTCATCAATTTTGGACCCAATGTGTCCATGTCCGCCCCCCGGCCTTTGTACTTGATCTCCCGGCGGATTTGATCCGCCATGGCCTGGTCCGCCAAAGAGGTTCCTGCAGCCTCCAGCGCCTGCGGCGAACGCGCGAAGGAAAATCGGGCTGAGGGCTTGCGGGATCGCTTTGAGAACCAAACGAAAACCGTTTTTGAAGGCTCCAGGGAAGCCAACGCGTTTTGAGGTTGACTTTGAGACAAGTCCCTTCGGGGCTCCCCTTTCCAGGGAATCGACTGTAAGGTTCAAAGTCTGCTTTGAGAGGTAAGACGGAACCCTGCCCCCGACCTGAATCAAGAGCCTGTGTAGGTCAACAGCAGGCTGCGCTTCTTGCCTTGTTCAAAAGCCAAAGACTTAAAGAGTCACATGCCTCAAAAAGGATAAAGGGAGCCGCAGAATTGTCTTGGCGCTTTCAAGTGCTTCAAGCTGGAGCCTAACTGGGCATCTTCAAGGGAAATTAAAAGGACCCCCCACCCACTAAGTGTCCGCGTCCAATTGAGAACGCCGGCTTCTGCAACCTGGGGGACTACCATGGCAAAGCAAATGACTCCAATGACTCACCAATCAAGTCGCAACACCTCGCACTCACTTGGGAAGACATAAGCTTGGATCCGCCTTAAAATCAACGCATGCATCAATGGCATGCATGTATGAACTCATACATACATATATATATATATGTATTGTTTATATTATATTATATAAATGATGTAGAAATAGGTGCAAGCAGCTGAAACATGCCCTGTGCCAGACCTTGGCCATCTCCTCGCGGGTGCGGTTCTCGGCCTCGAGCCGCTTCCGCTCCAGCGTCTTCCTCGCCGCTTGGTGGGGCTGGGGGCGGGCCCGGCCAAAAAAAAACGCCCTCTGAAATGGGAACGCCATCTGTTGGCCATCGGGGAAAGGAACCTTTCGTGAGGGAGTGGCTCACAGTGTGTGGGAACTGAGAACAGAAAAGAAGTGCCATTGGATAACTGGGCCCAGTGCTGATGCAAAAAGCATGGAACCCCAAACAACTTGTCGGGCGTGCCCTTTTTGTTAGGTCCCACCCTTTTGATTTGCAGGCAGCGAACCAGCATGGAACCAACTGTTCGAGAGCGCCCCGGTCCCTTATTTCCGAAACATCTACGTGGTTGTGTCTCAAAATGAAGAATCTCCAAGTTGTTGTCTTTGTGCCTCCCTTCAAAACCATCCTACACCAAAAGATGGTAAGGGACGCCTTGAATGCCAACAATGAAACCCACATCCCGACAATGATTTCGGACCCCTTCATCCCTTTCCTTCCGCCGGAAAAAGTTGTCACCCACATGGCCCAAACCATCGCGCCAACGCCGTGTGTCACCAATCATCCCCGCCTGTATTCCAGCTCCCCGGGCTGCAGCCAGGGCAGCAGTGCCTTGGCCGGCCGACGCTCGCGTCAACCAGTTTGGACCGCCTTGATGGCATTCGAGGCCGTTGGAGGGGAAACCAAGAAAACACCAAAGGGAAACCAAAGCATGGAAACCAAACGGAAACGCCTTTTTCGGAAATGGAAAACCAAGCGGAAACGTTTTCACGGAAGCCACTTCCGATTCCAAGCACCCTACGGTATCACAGCTCGGGAGCAACAAGCAGAAAAGCACGCCCCGGGCAAACCACTCCTGGCTCAGTGGCACACAGCCAGATAATCCCTTTCTATCAGCTGCCCATTCGTATTGGTCATCTGAGTGAACGTACCTCATATCTCTAGGGTTCCCAATCATCCATGTTGTTTCTCCTGCTGAATGCGCCTTCTCCGCCTCCTCCTCCGTCATCGGCTTGGGCGGCGGGGGCGCCGTAGTGAGCCGCGGGATGTCCTCGGCCGGCGCCAAGTCCGCTACAAATGATGATTCGTTGGGGTTCCATGTGCAGAGGAGTTTGCAACCTCCTTTTTGTTGGATGGGCCTGCAAAGTACACTCTAAGTGTCCATGGCAGGGATGAACCAGCCAACCACACCCCATTTCTCGCTGTCGGCCTTCGCGGGTGTCCCAAGATGGCCAAGCCATCCCGCTTTAGGATTTCATCCAACATTCCAAAACCCCAAATCCCCATCCGCCCTCCAACCCTTCCAAGTCCAATCCAAGTCCCCCAAAACAGTGCGCCTGGGAGTCCAGGTCCGACATCACCGGCAGCGGCGGCACGGCGAGGGCTGGCTGCGCCGGGAGCGCCGGGGGCGGCGGCGGAATGGACGCCAGCGGCGGTGCCTCCGGGGGCGGCGGCACCGCCACCGGGGGCCGTGCGACGGGCGCGGCAAGGCCCGGGGGCCACTGCGCTACGGAAGCAACCGGCATGAAGGGCATCCTGAGCAAAGGCCCGAGAGGGGAGTAGAGTCGTATTACAGTAGTAGGGGGTGGAATTGAAAAGACTAAGCTTGGGATATTCTGTGCAGATATGCTACCACCCCATAGGTTTCTCCGTGTCTGCCTCCAGACCCCTGCCAGGGCGCTGCGGTGAGCTCTGCTGGCAGTTGCAGTGGCATTGCCCACCAGGGCAGTCAACCCGGCCATATCGCCGCAGCCCCAAAGCCGGCGCCCAGAGCAGCAGCGCCAAAAGCCTCATGGCCTGGGAAAACCGTGGCCCTACCAGACGAGCAGTCCATGTTAACCGAGAGCGCACGAGCAACCGAGCGAGCCTTTGCCCTGAAACTTGACGGATTTCTCGCTCCACTTGGCACAACCGGTGTCCAGAAAAACTGCACTCCAGACTCCAAGCCTCACGGTGCGGCCAGCGCGGCCGCCCTCAGTGGCCTGCCGTTCTCAACGGCCGGCAGCCCGCTTTCAGATCAAGCGGGCAACTTCGTTTGGTCTGAGCCTTCAAACCGGCGGATGCGTGCACGGCTTGGTGGCTTCCTTGATGAACTACCCCAAAATTGCAACTTCTTGAAAATGCCAGGGCCGGCGAAACACCTGCCAAGTTCTAGAGTTGATATAACAAAAACTCTTGCGGTAGGTCTGGGTACTGGCCATTGGTCTCTGCGCAGGTTCCTTGTTCGATACCCAAAACATGCAGCCATTGTAGCCCCTTATCTTGGCGGCCTCCTCAGAAGACCATCACATGCTTGAATCCCTGTCACAACAACTCATGGACCCTCCCTTCCATGGCGGCAGTCGGCGTCAGCCTGGTATATAGCCCTGATTGAATTCCATGGCTTGCGACGGTCACGGCTCCCTCACTCAATTCCCCAACCTGTGTTGTCCACATGAAGGATGGTTGCTGATGATCCCCAAGTAGCAAGGCGATGAGGGCGCACATCAGCACAGAGTCTACTAAACCGGCTGCAGTCGATTTGCAAATACCGGAAAACGTCAACCCCAGCCTGTGCTTTTCAGCATCCTTGCAATGCGGGCGGTGCTGTCTTGTTTTTGGGTGTACCCCAGCCCTCCTTGTCAGGGAGGCTCTGTCCAAGCGTTTGCCAGCGGGGTAGGTGCAAGTGTATCCTTCAGGTGACTCCAGCAACAGGGCTCAACTACCTCGGCTCAGTGGTTTCGGGTCCCTTCTAATTGTAGCGGGGTGGCCTCTTTTTCCCCAAGTTCGTACCCCTATAAAGGCAATTGGTTGCATTCAGCAACGTGGTGTCCCCCTTCCTCACGCGCAGTGCACCTCACCGCCTTTTACCTGCCAGAGCTGCGCGGAGATGCTTTGCCTCCATGGCTTGTGCTCCAATCCAGCGGGCCGAAGGCTGTGCCCCTTTGGGCCTCACTGAAACGCGGGAGAAAGCCCACCTCTCCGGTTCTCACGAAAGGTTGGGTGGCTTTACCTGAGGCACAACTTTTGCCTTGCCAGAGAAGCAGAGTGTGAGCCAACATTCGCAGACAGGAAGAGGTAATGTACATCAAGGCCCGCCAACACGAACTTCGCAAAGCAGCTTCAATGGAACCATCTTCCATGAAGAGAACAACCATTCGCAGTCTGCCGCTTTGATTGTTTTAGATGTTTCCTACCATTGGTCACCCCATTACACCCCGAACCTAAAAAGGCAACCAACAATGTTTTTGGGGGGATCATCCTTTTTTCCAGCCACACCGTTTGCGAAGCGCCACCAGTGAACGGAAGTCTTCAAAGTGTCTGTCAGAGCTCCTTCTCTTTCGAGAAGTTGAAAGCTGCCGACCTGCGAAAGCAAATAGGGGGGGGGACGCCCAAGGCCCCCAAAGCCGCCCGGCAAAGGTTCTTCCCGGCCAGCCGCCTTTCAAGGAGGGCCAGGGTCTGCTCCGTTAAACCAATATTGATTCTGGATACCCCTAAAATCTTTGCCGAACACGTTCAACTCGGGCTCTTGGCTTAGTGCTTCACCCTTCTTGGAAATCCAAGCTATGCGCGAGTGAGTTGCCAGGTCAAAAGGGCCCCCGAAACCGGACGACTCCGCTGGGTTGGTCTTTGAACCTTTGCCAAAAAGTCGGGCTTGTCCCTAGTCAGTAGGGCAACAGGCAAGTCCGACCCTTCTATGCATATGTTGTTTTGCTTGCTCCCTCTGGCCCCATTTTGAGTCCTTCCAAAGCAGGAGCTCGCCAAAAAGATTGAGACAAAATTCGGTTTCTCTGGAGAACCCTTCTTGGACGCCTCAAGCGAGAGGTTCGGTCTTCTTTACTTCTTTACCCTTCTGAGTCCATGGACCTCATGGAACCCAACCATTCCGCGCCCGAGCTCACGCCCAGATCCTGGCCGAGGGCCTCAGCCAGGACCGCTGGTTGGCGTCATGTGACCCGTCAAAGCTGCCTAGCTGTTTTTGATCTGTATAAGGGTATAAGGAAGGCAAAAAAGCCCCTACCCCGGCTGCGAAAACAAACTCAAACCGTTCAGAAGGCCCTTGTTGTTCCGAGGGGTTTTCCCTTTAGGGGATCCCCTTGCGGCTTCGGTTTGCTTTTACCGACCAAGCGGGAAACAACGGTGCACTCCGCTGAACTGGGCCCAAACGGCGGTCCCTCCAGGCGAATGGACTCCTCGAACTGCCGGTGTAGCTCCTGAAACTCCAACAAACACTGGTAGCAAACCAGGCCAAAAAAAAACACGTCTGCCATCCATTCCATTTGGCGTGTCAAAAACTGGGGCCTTGGGCCTGTTTGAGGGTTGAAACCTCTTGAAGCTCATCAAGCTGTCCCGAATTCATGCGAGCCATGTCGCCAACAAGACCAGGCAGCAGCGAGAATATCAACTGCTATCGGCAACGAGCATCTTTAACCTGGTGTTCGGAAACTTTGCAGTGCGGAAGAGGCATGCATCAATTCAATTTGCGGAGGAAGCATTGACAAGTTGCTGGATGCTCGCGTTCACTGCCGCAAGGCAGCACAAGCATCAGCCTTTGAATGCGTCTCAGACAGGGAGTACTGATTGCAACGTTAGATAGCAGAATCAAGCAGGCCGAATTAAATGACGAAGTGTGCAGGATCCGGGCCAGTCAGGATTTGACAAAGCTACAAAGCGGCAATAGCCATACCTTCTTGAATGACACATGCTGTGTCTGCATTCCAAACAGTTGCTGGATCCGGATCAGTCAGTACATTGCTCACCATAGCTGTATCGCAACTCCAGAAACGCTGACTGGATAGGCTCGAGTTTGCTACAAGAGCAAATCTGCATGAGACGGGCGAAGCAGATGTCACGTAGGGCTCGGCTCAGCCGTTTAAGCTTCCACCAGGGAGTGCTGGAGCTGGAGGGCTCAGGAACATGCAGGCATGCCAAGTGCTGCTCCATGAGATCGACGACGCGACTAGCTCGCGGCACCTGTCCCGCCCAAGCATTGAGATGGGGAAGAACAAGGCTTACCTGTTCGTGCTGACTGAAGCTGCATAAGGCTGCGCGATTTTTCTTGTCCAGCGTCATAGGACCACCATGTGGATAATGGCAAAACCTGCAATGGCGGCCGTTGGGGCACCCAAGCTGCACGAGGATGCATGGCCGACAGAACTCTGAACGTCCTAAGCTTCCCACTGAGGCCACCGTCATCGCGCCTGTCATTCCTCTTAGGAGCCGTGGAAGGAGGGGGGGACTCCTCCGCTTTGACTTCGCATCCGTTGGCGGGCCGCGGGCGCCTCCACGAAGTACGATATCAAAGCAGCGTCTTAGCTCTGTCAGGTTCTTCAGTCTGCTCTTGAAGCCGAGCGGGAAGGCTGAACGATCGCCTTGCTGACGCGTTGCGCACCTGTGCGATGAAGGTGTGTTCCACGCAATAGTGCATAGCTCTATGCCGCCTCAACCAATTATCCTCTGATTGCTCTGCTTGCCTTGAGCAGCTGCTCTGCCAAGCTGGCTAGCACTACTGGAACAACCAATGCCAGTTGTGCAACCCTGCAACCCTGCAACCCTGCAGGTTTAAATCAGGGGGTCCCGGTGGAAGAAAGAAATCCACGCTCCACGGTCACCCACCCTGATCAATGACTGGGGACCAGTGTATTGACTAGAGGCGTCAAAGGTTTAAACGCATCGAGCTCCATCATAAAGCATCCATCAGAACACAAACATTCACCAGTGTTCGTGACTTTGGTTCCGAATCCTCCGGACATGTTGAATCCAGAAGCATGTCACTTGGCTTCGTGGATCCTCGGGCTGCACCCCTTCAAGGAACCCTGACCTCCCAACACTCCAGTGACCCACTCCTCGGTGATTGGAGCCCCCGCCGCCTGCGATCGCGAGCGTGCTGCGGACATACATATATATATATATATATGTGTATATATATATATGTATATATATATGTATGTATATACATTGCAAAAGTCAATGTATTTAGAAATGTACGTGAATGTATTAAAATGCACGTACACGGATACGTATGTGCGTATAATATCAATGTATGTGTGTGTGTGTAAAGATATGTATGCATATATATATATATATACATATATATATATATATGTATACATTGCATTCACAAGTACGTATACATGTGTATGTGCATAATGTGTATATGTGCGTGTGTATGTGAATGGGTATGTGTATGTGAATGTGAATGTGCACATGCATCTGAATGTGTATGTGCATATGTTTGTGTATGTGCATCTGTTTGTGCATGTGTATCTGCATGTGTATGTGCACCTGTTTGTGTGTGAGTGTGTGCATCCGTTTGTGTATGAATTGTATATGCATACATACATGCATGTATCTATTACGTATTGCTGCCAAAGGCATGCTCGAAGGCGCAGGAAAGCTACAAATGTAAGCCCCCAGTCCATTCAGGGAAAGGTCCCTCTACTGTCAAGCACAAAGCTTTGTCAAACACTGCGGAAGACCAAACGACCCTCCCTTTTGCCGGCCTGGTGCCGCTGGACGAAGGAACGGCAGCCTCAGATCTTTCCAGTTCGCGCTGCTTTCGGCACCACTTGCTATTTAATGGAGGCTACAACCACCGAATAGGGTTTATTAAGGTCCAACACAGTCTTTTCGGAACATGCTTTTGGACAGTGCCACGATCTGGGGCACCCCTACCTTGCACCAAAGAAAAATTCCCTGTGCCAAATCGATCAGCTTCTACACTCCCTTCAGAAAACTGGGCCAAAGATCCTTTTGAATGCAGATGTTCAAACGTGTCTCAGCTTGTCACGGGAAAGATGCATCCCCTTTTGGAAGGTACTCCCTGCCAAAACCCACACGGAGCAAGAATAAAATACATCCAACTTTACATCTCCTTTGCGGCACGGCTTTCTGGAGTTCCAAGCTAATTGCAAGGGAGAATCCTTTTGAGGCAAACCAAAATGAACGGCCGCGGCGCACTCATTTTTGAAATGGCTTCGGCGCTTTTGGGACCTGCTTTGGTGGCGCACCTTTGACAAGGCCCGGCGATAAGCGTCTGTGTGGAAAACGGCCAAGAATACCTGCTTCAATGAACAAGGGATGGTGCATCGTAAGCAGAATACAGTTCATGAGTTTACAACTGGGAATTCGGGGTCGCCCCTAACTTAGTGCGAAAGTTGGTTCCTTCAGGCTTCCACCCAAACAAGTCTGCAAATGGTGCAAAAGAACAGCAACTTTATCCTTAGAAGTGGCACCCCTCCACCCACCCACCCATCCGTCCATCCATCCATCCATCCACCCACCCATGCCTCCTAACCCAAAAGTCCCAAAAGCAGAAATTCTTGTGGATCAACATTTCAAAAGTCTGCAAAGATCCCCCGCACAACCAGTCATTCAAAAGACACGAATTGGCCTTTTGATAAAAGCTACACCTTTGAAGGGATAATTCAGGTATGGGATTCAATATTGACAAGTTGCACGACTGTCTGCAAAGCAGATGCAATGGGCCTTAGAACTGTAATTCTTCGGCCTGGGCCCGATCTGGCCAACATCACTGCGTCAATTCACCTGTAATTTGTAGGCAGCAACAATTGCCACAACCATGTTGACAAGTGTCAAATATGAGGCCAATCAAAGCAACAGACTAGTCCAGTGTTGCATTTTCGGCGTGTAGCTTTTCAACTTGTAAGCTACACGCGCGCTCGCGAATGTCTTCACGACATGCTGTGGCTCTGCACGTCCGATAGTCATCACCACATCCTCTTGACCGCACCTCAGACAATCATGATTGTTGGACATGCTGCACAAGGCAAAAGCCAAACAGCAGCAGACCCAACAACAAGCCCAGTCACGATTGCCGGGCATAGCCCAAGTGAAACACTCTGCGACGAGGCACCTGACATGGCAGTTGCCTCGAGCCTTCCTGCAAGGTGGCGTGACAGGCAATGGAACTCACTGTGTCAGCCACATCACTCGGTCCCGGCAAAAACAACACATCCAGCACAGTTTTTCCTTCTCATCTCCGCAAACCCTCAGCTTTGAATCTGAGCTTGAGCCAATATGCCACACGCACGAACATGGCCCCACTGTAATCCCACATTGTGAGCTGTAGTTCGCCACAGCTATGTGGCTCAAATCCAAGTTCGGGGCAAATTGCCACGCGCTAAACTTGCGCGCTTTTCAGGCTGGGGCCTTTTGAGGTAGGCCGTGAGGCGAGCACCATTCGGTCGGGAAAGCGCGCTCCTTCTCGGGAACCATCGTGGTGTAGTGTTCATCTTTGAGCAACATTGGCAGCCGTGGAAACTGCTTGGCAACTTCCATCTGTTTTTTGCAGTCCTCATGTGGCGTGGAAACACGTTGCCATCGGCTATCTTTTCATTGGAAGACGACTAAATTCCGGCATAGTCTGGCACTGGCTTCGTTCCAGCGGCGCTCGGGTGTCCATGATTCTCTGAAGAACCCATACTTACGCAAGCGCGAAGCTGCTTGGGCCCGTAGAGTGTTCCCGAGCTGTGTCGCATTGGTCTTGCTTTCAGCCAGAGGCCTTCCGGTGGCTAAGGCATATGCTACCGATGCAGCGCGGTACGCGCAGTCTCCGCTGCCTCCTGCATCTAAGTTTTCGAATCCCATTCAAGAGATGTATTTGGGCAGGCGTTGGGGACTCCCTTCTGTTATTTCTTATCAAGCGAGTTGCGCGGAGCCGCAGCGTTATCTGAATCAGGCGCTGTCATGGGCAGTCATCATTGCCAAAGGCTGCGCCCCGCAGACGGATTGCCACCTGTCTGGGGGCTTTGCTGGCTTTGAAACGCTTGGAGATTGTTACACAAGTTCGTACGCGTCAGATTGCATCAGATGGGCTTTTTGCACGGTAGAGCCACCCGCGCTGTCAAGCGCACATCGCTGAGTGTCATCCGGACATGACACCGCGAAAATTGTTCCATTTGCGCGCCAAAAACAAGACTACCCCGGGAGTCGCCAAAAGCATGATCACCAAACTTGCTGCGGCCCGTGCAGAGCGACATAAAACCCATGATGAAGTTGCGCCAACTGAGAAGTTTCAACGTGACCCCGCTTGGAGAGGGACAAAGCATGACTGCTTGTGCCTGTTGGGAGGCAATCCTGAGGGCAAACAGGCCCAGCCCTTGCCAAAGGCAACCGTGTCAAATGCCGTCCTTCAAACCGCCTTATGGAGCTGCAATGTCGGCCGCGGCGAAGTAAACAGCCTGATTTGCCACACGCCTAAATTACCGTGTCTATGAAGGAGCCTGCCAAACGCCCGAAATATGTAGCAGGATAGAAACTGCACCCTGGGCTGTCAACCAAGAAGAAAAAAACATGCCATGCCAGTGCGAGGCAATAAGAGGTCCCTGACAACGTCATTATCTTGAAAGCAAGTGACGCTGTTGCCGAAGACACTGACCTGTGCAACGCTTTTGGTTAGCAGGAGGCTTTTAGCGTTCAGCTCATAATAGGAGAACTGGCTCAGGCTGCCAGGTGAAAGTTGCCAGACCACTGGGCAAATCCTGACTGCGTACCTTTTGCCCAAGCAACCCTCGCGAAAAACACAACGTGGGCATTGCGAATGGTAACCCTGACACTAACATCTTGAAACTGGCGGGAAGAAGATGCGGTTGCCCTCTTGCAGGACGCTAACTGGACAGAGGTCCAGCTGATTGCGCGCAGAGAACCTGGGACCAATCGGTTGAAGGCATGGAGGAAATGTCCAAACTTAGGAGGCCAGCCCGGCGTGCAAGACGCCTGGCACCTCTACTGCATGTGCCTTAACGCATGCTACAGACTCACCATGACGGATTATGCTTCCAAAGCCGACAATGCTCAGACAAGCGATGATGCCAACCGTCAGTTGCGGCAAAACGGCAACGACGCGAAAGGGGCTCCCGCCAGCTTCCAATGAGTCACTGAGGCCACGAGGCTGGCGGGGGAGCCGCAGTCTGGGGAGGCCTGTCAGGCTCCGCCGCACCCGAGCCAGGCTCCATGAGCTCCGGCACTTCTGTGCCAAGCAAGGACCGGTCAACCGCAAGCTGGTCCAAAAGCTCTGGTGAGAGGCGGTCAAGGACCGGCAGCAAGACTGCCAGACTTCAAGCAAGGACGCAGCGCATGAACGATGGCACTTTCAGCCACCTAGGCAAATGGCTTAGAAGCAAACAGAACCAAGGCACTGGAGCCACGTTACGTTGGTTTTTGATGAGGGGCCGATCGGCACCAAGGAGGAAGCCGCCAAACTCATAGACCAGTACCGGACACAGGTCTGGAACCGATCTGAGGGAGACCCCCTGCAAGCGGGTCAAGACTTGGCGCGGCTGTCCGTGCCAGGACAGACAACGGAGGCCGCCTCGGCTGCTAGCTGCTCCGCCGCTGGCTGCTGCGCCGCCTCCGGACTTGCGCGATGGCCGCCCCAGGGCGGCCGCCGTGCGGCTGTTCGCGATCCACAAGGGCGGCTTCGGCCATGGAGGCGAAGCGGCTGGAAGCGGCTGTAGCCACTGCGATGCGCATAAGATGCCTTCAACAGGCAGATCAGACTTGCGCGATTGACCAAAGGGGGCTATGGCTGGCTTTTCAGAAGCCCCAGCAAGGATGACCTGAAGCCCCTTTTGAGGGCTCAGCGGCTGCTCATGCAAAAACCCAAGCAGGCTTCGCCGCCCCTCTACTGGCTTACGAGGCACTGCTTCGCAGAGCTGCCCGTGACCCTCATGCTGCTATGCCTGATGTCCCTCTCCATGTGGGAGGTTGGATTAAGGTCCTACGTGCCCGGCTACGAGACCTGGGATGACTGAAGAAGCCTCTTGGAAGTGGAAGCATGCGGAGATGGACTCCACCATTTACCTTTCAGGACGGGTTGCGGCTAACCAAAGCAAAAAACATGTTGCTCATTTGCTCGCTCAGGGAATCTTGGCGCAGGAAGCAATTTGATGGGTTCATGAAATCTGATAGACGTGATGCCAGGGCCCTTCAAGGGTTCGTGTATAGTGAGGCTCGGGTCAAGGCGCTCAAAAACTCCGTGTTGACAAGTCACTCCCTTGCTGCGCTTACCGGAGCCAGTGTTTCACCGGCTTGCTTTGGTGTGCAAAC